TCTTCTTTTTTGACACCACACTCCAAAAAGTTAAGTTTTGTCTTATCTTGATTAGTGCTGCAAGGAAAGACCTAGTTAAGCTGCAGCTGGCCCAGAACAGTGTGGTACGTCTTGCTCTTCATTGTAATCAGAGGGCTGATATAAATGCTATGCATGCCAGTCTCTCTTGGCTAAGAGTTGAGGAGAGACTGACTGCATCATTTCTTCTTTTTATAAGATGCATTAATGTGTTGAAAATTCGAAATTGTTTGCAAAGTCAACTTACACACAGCTCTGACACACACACTTACCACACCAGACATGCCACCAGGGGTCTTTTCACAGTCCCCAAATCCAGAACAAATTCAAGAAAGCATATTATATAGAGCCATTATTGCATGGAACACCATTCCATCTCGTATTGCTCAAGTGAACAGCAAACCTGGTTTAAAAAAACAGATAAAGCAACACCTCACGGCACAACACCTCTCCCCTATTTGACCTAGATAGTTGGTGTGTATGTATTGATATGTAGGCTACGTGTTTATTTTTTTAATGGATGTAGTTCTGACCTTAAACTGTTCTTGTCTATTAATGTTCTGTATTATGTCATGTTTCATGTTTTGTGTGGACCCCAGGAAGAGTAGCTGCTGCTTTCGCAACAGCTAATGAGGATCCTAATAAAATACCGAAAAATACCAACAAAACTTCACCATGCCATTGGATTTAGGTTAAAAGTTTGGTGAAAAAAATAATAAGTGGCCTTAAGTTGATGACTTTTTGCAAATCCAATAAGTTTACCACGTTGATTCAACGTCATCACATAGATTTATTTGGTTGAAATGACGTGGAAACAACGTTGATTCAACCAGTTTTGGCCCAGTGGGTAGCTTCTACTCTTCAAACTACTAACTAGGTATATAGCTAACTAACCAACTCTACTACTAACTAGGTATATAGCTAACTAACCAACTCTACTACTAACTAGGTATATAGCTAACTAACCAACTCTACTACTAACCAGGTATATAGCTAACTAACCAACTCTACCTATCAGGCCATCTTTAAGACAGTTCCAGCCATGGTTGTAAGTGTCAACACATGACATTGTTTCTGTGTTTTGGGTTAGGCCTCTGTAAAATACTGTCACTCACAGTACAGGTTTTGACTTGTGTACCTTTTTATTATCTTCATTATAAAGTATGGATGACTCTGCAATGACTACCCTGCACACATTGTACGCTTCATACGCCAGTGTAACCCATAATAGCCACTGTTGTTTAGTCTGCCTCCTTGTTGTCTGTGAGTTATCCCTTGTGTGTTGTGTCAACTCACCGGCTCCACACGGATCATTTTCAGTCCAAACACAACCTATGGACATCTAAAATATTGCAACAGAACATCCGGGAAGCTGACTATGCAGGAATTGATGGCCAGGGAGGTTGTCCTTCTCTTCCCTCACGTTGTGTGGAGCTGCATGAGGGGCGGCAGGTAGCTTAGTGGGTAAGAGCGTTGTGCCAGTAACCGACCTAGGTGAAAAATCTATCGATGTGCCCTTAAGCAAGGCACTTAACCCTAATTGCTCCTGTAAGTCGCTCTGGATAAGAGCGTCTGCTAAATGACTAAAATGTCAATGAAAGAAGGAATGTCTGCAACTCTTGCAGAGGGACAAACCTAGAGACATCACACACACAGACACGCGCACACACAGATACAGACACTAACACACACACACACACACAAACCTAGAGACACATACTTGTTGAAGCAGAGTTTTGGTGGACACTGGAGAGTGTGGCCCTGTGGAAGTATCATTGAGGAGTGAGGACAATGGACATTGTGGTCCTGTGGAAGTGTCATTGAGGAGTGCGGACACTGGACAATGTGGCCCTGTGGAAGTTGAAGAGTGTTAATTAAACCTAATGAGGTGAAATGACCACAGGGAAACAGAGATATGATATTGATACATCACTGGTACATCAGTGTCTTAAGGCTGAGTTGTTAACTGGCCAGGTACGATGCTCTGTGTCTGACCCTGTGCTGCACCCAGCCTGTCTTTGTGTGTGTGTGTGTGTGTGTGTGTGTGTGTGTGTGGTGTCAGGTTGGGTATTGTGACAACAACTAAAATAAAAGGCTATCCATGCAAGTGGACAATAAAGATCTATTCTGTTACTGGGGTCTACTTTGGGCCCAGGACAGGTTTCCCTGTTTATTATCCTGGTAGAACCAGCCTGATCGCTGCCTTTACCATTCTATTATCCTGGTAGAACCAGCCTGATCGCTGCCTTTACCATTCTATTATCCTGGTAGAACCAGCCTGATTGCTGCCTTTACCATTCTATTATCCTGGTAGAACCAGCCTGATCGCTGCCTTCACCATTCTATTATCCTGGTAGAACCAGCCTGATCGCTGCCTTCACCATTCTATTATCCTGGTAGAACCAGCCTGATCGCTGCCTTCACCATTCTATTATCCTGATAGAACCAGCCTGATCGCTGCCTTAACCATTCTATTATCCTGGTAGAACCAGCCTGATCGCTGCCTTTACCATTCTATTATCCTGGTAGAACCAGCCTGATCGCTGCCTTAACCATTCTATTATCCTGGTAGAACCAGCCTGATCGCTGCCTTCACCATCGTAACAGCAAAACAGAGCATTTCTACATAGTAGTTAGAGGATTAGTCAAATCTCTTTCAATGGGGTTGGTTTGCCATTCACTTTGATAACACCTTTATATACAGTAACAAGTTCTGGTTTGGTCAATACAATCTGATTTGTCTTTATATTTACAGAAACGGTAGCCTTGTGCTAACAAATGAGTTTCGTGACATGATCAATATGATCCAATTACTATCTGGTCAAGGTTTGTCGCGTTTACACATTGTAATAAAATGTGTCTCTTGTTCTTCCTCTGTGTCCACATTGTAACCAGATTAGTTGGTGCCTCCCTGTATGCAAATTATTTGACAGATTCTCTTTCAAAATAAGATGAATTTTTATTTATTTTAGGATCATTCAATGGTGTTACCTGTCAATAATTTGAAGCCAGTATAATGATTTTAAATAGTTAGACCATCCAGATCTGTTTACACTTGATTGATATCAAGACGCAACGCGTGGCTGACTACCGGTGGCAGGAAGATCAGATCACAGATCAGATCACAATGTGTCTTTTTAATCGTCTAAACCTGTATAAAAATGTGGGCACAATCAGAACGTGAACAAGATCAGGACAAAGAACCCCATGTCAGAACCAGGTATAAACGGGGCTTTTGACACAGACTCAACTTACATAAACGGGGCTAAGGGCTGTGACGGTAATTGAATAACTGTGTAACTGACAGTTATGGATGAAGACAGTCATGAAAATAAAATAACCGTTTTAAATAGGCCACATTTTGGATTATTGTCATGTAGATAAACTTTACTAAAGATTTATAAGCAATTGTTTTGCTAACTTAGTTTATTAAAGTCTCTACATCTCCTCCTCTTTCCAACTGTCTTCCTGCTCCACCTGCTAATGTGGACATTCTTTTATACAATGCGCATTTTCATTGCTTGCTAGTAAGTAAATAAATAAATCGGTCTTCTTTGACGGGTGCTTTTACGAAGGCCTATTTTCAGTAGCTTAGGCGACGTTATTTCTCTCATTACGCCGTCCTCTCTTTTGAAGAACATACGCCGCTGCCATTGAATGACCACAGCAGCAGGGTTTGTGACGTTATGCGAATATTTCGGGGAAAAGTGGGAGAAAACCCATCGTACTTCGTTTGATTTGTTGTTTTTTTGCGTCGAAATAGGATCTGTATTTAAAAAAATTATATGCAGAAAAGGACAAGGTGGCATATATCTTCATTTTGACTCCCTTAATGTTGTCAATATAATGTTGAACCTCCCCAACCTGGCATTTCTTAATTTGTTGATTTCATATTTATAGGTAATAACCTTAATAATAATAATAAAATGACAATAATAATAATAATAATAATAATAATAATAATAATAATAATAATAATAAAATGACAATAATAATAATAATAATAATAATAATAATAATAATAAAATGACATGATAATAATGAAGTGTAATGGCTTGTTTCAACTAGGTTTTATTAAGGGGAGAGTGAGATCCAACCCAGAATCAAATGTCACATGCTGTGGCCAGATAGTCTCTAATGACAGACTTGTTAAATAACTAGACTATGTCCAAAATGACCAAGATTCATCCAAAATGTGACTGATTTTGGAGTGAATATGCAACAAAGGCAGTGCCTTGACAAGGCAGTGGAACTTTATTCCTCAGATGGATTTGATGTGAAGAATGTCAGGTTTAGGAACATGTTCTATAGATACTGCAGGTAAAGAATCTATATCAGGGCTCCCTAACCATGTTCCTGGAGAGCTACTGTCCTGTAGGTTTTCACTCCAACCCTGTTCCTGGACAGCTACCCTCCTGTAGGTTTTCACTCCAACCCTGTTCCTGGAGAGCTACCCTCCTGTAGGTTTTCACTCCAACCCTGTTCCTGGAGAGCTACCCTCCTGTAGGTTTTCACTCCAACCCTGTTCCTGGAGAGCTACTGTCCTGTAGGTTTTCACTCCAACCCAAATATTAAAGCAGATCTCCATAGAACTACATAGATCTGGTCCCCTCCTCATTAAACACTGTAACAGGTCTACATAAAAGTCCATAGTTGGAAATTCAATGTCACTGACTGTATCTCTGACCCACCACAGGCTCACGGACTGTATCTCTGACCCACCACAGGCTCACTGACTGTATCTCTGACCCACCACAGGCTCACTGACTGTATCTCTGACCCACCACAGGCTCACTGACTGTATCTCTGACCCATCACAGGCTCACTGACTGTATCTCTGACTCACCACAGGCTCACAGACTGTATCTCTGACTCACCACAGGCTCACTGAATAAAGTTTCCACCATAATGTCAGCAGAAGAGTAACTCATGCCTTCTTCTTATTCTTCTTTCTTCTTTCTTCCTCCTCCTCCTCCTCCTTCAGATCCAGTTTGCTAATGCGGAGGATAAACAGGAGTTTCAGAAGTACCCCACTAAGGCCGGCCGGCGCTCCCTCTCTCGCTCCATCTCCCAGTCCTCCACAGATAGCTACAGCTCAGGTAGATACCACACACACACACACACACACACACACACACACACACACACACACACACACACACACAGTACACAGGCATGGCTCCACACATGACTACAGCACTAAGCGCTGGTGATTACTAAGGTAGCAAAAGTCCTCAATCATGGATCATACATCTATTATCAGCTGAGAATCCTTCTATTATTCAACTAATGTTAAAATACCATGTCAAGCTGCTAACTACATTGCCTACTATAGACTGCTATACCAGACATCTCTTCGTTATGTGGCTCTGACTCTTTGTTTCTCCTTCCCCCAACACAATGTCCAGCTGCGTCCTACTCAGACAGCTCAGATGATGAGACCACTCCTCGGGACAAGGCCCAGACCAACTCCAAGGGCAGCAGTGACTTCTGCGTTAAGAACGTCAAACAGGCAGAGTTCGGCAGACGGGAGATCGAGATCGCAGAGCAAGGTGTGGAATCACCACTGTCTTGCATCCACTTTCAGGGATCGTTTTGATAGCAACTATGGTACATTTCAAACCAGGCCAGCCCAGTACAGCTTGCATTGGCTGGGCTCATTATTGTGAAAAAGGTATAGTGTAAGTGCTGATTCAGGATCAGTGGGTTAGAGGGTACAGCGAGTGCTTAGAGCTGCCATGTATCCAAGATGGCGTAGCATTGCGGTCGTAAACTCTGTTGTGTGTCCGTGTAAATAGCCTGTTTTTTTAAAGTTTTTTTTTTCGTACCTATTTCCCTATCACACTTTTCATCCTTCTACTAAATATACTTTCCTGCAACCCGCCTCACTCAATGTGGAACGGATTCTATTATTGACTTACCTTTTATCTAGAATCTCCAGTTGAAACTAGCTAACTAGCTACTTGCTATTAGCCACCGTTAGCGGTTTTCACCCAGAACCCAGAACATCGGATTTTCTGCCGGAATAACTGAATCACTGGACATTAACACCGGATCGCAACTAGCTAGCCGCAACCGAATGGATGTTGCTGTTGGCTAATCACCACTGCCCCCGAAGCAAGCACCAGTTAGCCTTGAGCTAGCCTCGAGCCAGGCCCATATCCCGACTATCTACCTCTCTGTCTACTGGACGGGAGTAGCCAGCTAACTAGCTACTTGCTATTAGCCACCGTTAGCGGTTTTTCACCATTGTCCGTGGCCTGCACTACCTACCAGCCAGCTCTAGCCTGGACTATTATTGGCCAGTCTGCACTGTCTGCACAGCGCGTTATCGACCCAGAACATATCGGTTTTTCTGCCGGAATCACTGGACCTTTAACACCGGATCATCGCAACTAGCTAGCTGCAACCAAATGGATGTTGTTGTTGGCTAATCAGCCTTGAGCTAGCCTCGAGTCAGGCCCATCTCCCGGCTATCTACCTCCTAGAGTCGACACGGAGCCCCGCCGATCCATCACAACTGGTCTGCCGACGTAATCGTCTGTGGTTTCAACATGCTTCCCATTGCGATGACCACGAAGATCCATCTGCTAGCCCCGGCCCGCTAGCACACGCAAACAACAGCCGTGCTTCCTGCTCGCTGTAGCACCAATTCGGACTCATGTATTGCTGTACACTGGACCTTATGATCACTCAGTTGCACAGCTGATGCCTGCTGGACTGTTCCTTTACACGGTACCCTGTCCTGTTTATCTGTTTAGCCTCAGCCCAAACTTTCATCGCCATTGCCAGTTGTTGTCTTAGCGCTCTCTAATAACACCTGTGATTGCTTTATGCCTCTCTCCCATGTCAATATGCCTTGCCTATTGCTGTTCCAGTTAGTTCTTATTATACCATTTCACTGTAGAGCCCCAAGTCCCACTCAAACTGCCTCAAATAGCTCCTTTGTTCCACCCCCCATACACACAGAGACCGGCTCAATCGGTGCCTCCAGTGATGCTATCTCTTTCATTGTTACCCAACGCTTAGGTTTACCTCCACTGTACTCATATCCTTCCATATCCTTGTCTGTACATAATGCCCTGAATCTATTCTACAACTCCCGGAAATCTGCCCCCTTTATTGTCTGTACCCAACGCACTAGAAGACCAGTTCTTAAAGCCTTTAGCCGTATCCTTATTCTATTCCTCCTCTGTTCCTCTGGTGATGTAGAGGTTAACCCAGGCCCTGTAGCCCCCAGTATCACTCCTAATCCCCAGGAGCTATCATTTGTTGACTTCTGTAACCGTAAAAGCATTGGTTTTTTGCATGTTAACATCAGAAGCCCCCTCCCTAAGTTTGAGTTATTCACTGCGTTAGCACACTCCGCCAACCCTGATGTTCTAGCAGTGTCTGAATCCTGGCTTAGGAAGGTCACCAAAAATTCAGAAATGTCCATCCCCAACTACAACATTTCCCCTCTAGATAGAACTGCCAAAGGGGGTGGAGTTAGCCTGCAGAGCTCTATCATACTATCCAGGTCTGTGCCCAAACAGTTTGGGCTCCTACTTCTAAAATTCCACCTTTCCAGAAATAAGTCTCTCACTGTTGCTGCTTGCTACAGACCCCCCTCAGCCCCCAGCTGTGCCCTGGACACCATATGTGAATTGATTGCCCCCCATCTATCCTCAGAGTTCGTACTGCTTGGTGACCTAAACTGGGATATGCTTAACACCCCGGCCATCCTACAATCCAAACTATATGCCCTGAATCTCACACAAATGATCAAGGAACCTACAAGGTACAACCCTAAATCCGTAAACATGGGTACCCTCATAGATATCATCCTGACTAACTTACCCTCTAAATACACCTCCGCTGTCTTCAACCAGGATCTCAGCGATCACTGCCTTATTGCCTGCGTCCGTAACGGGTCCGCGGTCAAACGACCACCCCTCATAACTGTCAAATGCTCCCTAAAACACTTTAGAGAGCAGGCCTTCCTAATTGACCTGGCCCGGGTATCCTGGATGGATATCGATCTCATTCCGTCAGTAGAGGATGCCTGGTTGTTCTTTAAAAGTGCTTTCCTCTCAATCTTAAATAAGCATGCCCCATTCAAAAAATTCATAACTAAGAACAGATATAGCCCCTGGTTCTCCTCAGACTTGACTGCCCTTGACCAGCACAAAAATATCCTGTGGCGTACTGCATTAGCATCGAATAGCCCCCGCGATATGCAACTTTTCAAGGAAGTTAGGAAAGTAAAGGCTAGCTTTTTCAAACAGAAATTTGCATCCTGTAGCACTAACTCCAAAAAGTTTTGGGACACTGTAAAGTCCATGGAGAATAAGAGCACCTTCTCCCAGCTGCCCACTCCACTGAGGCTAGGAAACACTATCACCACCGATAAATCTACAATAATCGAGAATTTCAACAAGCATTTTGCTACGGCTGGCCATGCTTTCCACCTGGCTACCACTACCCCCCGGCCACCAGCTCTGCACCCTCCGCTGCAACTTGCCCCCCCCCCCCCCCCCCCCCCCCCTCCCCCCCGCTTCTCCTTCACACAAATTCAGACAGCTGATGTTCTGAAAGAGCTGCAAAATCTGGACCCCTACATATCATCTGGGCTAGACAATCTGGACTCTTTCTAAAATTAGCCGCTGAAATTGTCGCAACCCCTATTAATAGCCTGTTCAACCTCTCTTTCGTAACGTCTGAGATCCCCAGAGATTGGAAAGCTGCCGCGGTCATCCCCCTCTTCAAAGGGAATGACACTCTAGATCCAAACTGTTACAGACCTATATCCATCCTGCCCTGCCTTTCGAAAGTTTTTGAAAGCCAAGTTAACAAACAGATCACCGACCATTTCGAATCACACCGTACCTTCTCCGCTATGCAATCCGGTTTCCGAGCTGGTCATGGGTGCACCTCAGCCACGCTCAAGGTCCTAAACGATATTATAACCGCAATCGATAATAGACAGTACTGTGCAGCCATCTTCATCGACCTGGCCAAGGCTTTCGACTCTGTCAACCACTGCATTCTTATTGGCAGACTAAATAGCCTTGGTTTCTCAAATGACTGCCTCGCCTGGTTCACCAACTACTTCTCAGAAAAAGTTCAATGTGTCAAATCGGAGGGCCTGTTGTCTGGACCTATGGCAGTCTCTATGGGGGTGCCACAGGGTTCAATTCTTGGGCCGACTCTTTTCTCTGTCTATATCAATGATGTCGCTCTTGCTGCTGGTGATTCTCAGATCCACCTCTACGCAGACGACACCATTTTGTATACATCTGGCCCTTCATTGGACACTGTGTTAACAAACCTCCAAACGAGCTTCAATTCCATACAACACTCTTTCCGTAGCCTCTAACTGCTTTTAAACACAAGTAAAACTAAATGAATGCTCTTCAATCGAACGCTGCTGGCACCCACCCACCCGACTAGAATCACTACTCTCGACGGGTCTGACCTAGAGTATGTGGACAACTACAAATACCTAGATGTCTGGTTAGACTGTAAACTCTCCTTCCAGACTCACATTAAGCATCTCCAATCCAAAGTTAAATCTAGAATCGGCTTCCTATTTCGCAACAAAGCCTCCTTCACTCATGCTGCCAAACATGCCCTCGTAAAACTGACTATCCTACCGATCCTTGACTTCGGCAATGTCATTTACAAAATAGCCTCCAACACTCTACTCAGCAAATTGGATGTAGTCTATCACAGTGCCATCCGTTTTGTCACCAAAGCCCCATATACTACCCACCACTGTGACCTGTACGCTCTTGTTGGCTGGTCCTCACTACATGTTCGTCGTCAAACCCACTGGCTCCAGGCCATCTATAAATCACTGCTAGGCAAATCCCCGCCTTATCTTAGCTCATTGGTCACCATAACAACACCCACCCGTAGTATGCGCTCCAGCAGGTATATCTCACTGGTCATCCCCAAAGCCAACACCTCCTTTGGCCGCCATTCCTTCCAGTTCTCTGCTGCCAATGACTGGAACGAACTGCAAAAATCTCTGAAGCTGGAGACTCTTATCTCCCTCACTAACTTTAAGCATCAGTTGTCAGAGCACCTTACCGATTACTGCACCTGTACACAGCCCATCTGAGTTGCAGTGAAGGGAAATCTTAATGCTACAGTATACAATGATATTCTAGACTATTCTGTGCTTCCAACTTTGTGGCAACAGTTTGGGGAAGGCCCTTTCCTGTTTCAGCATGACAATGCCCCCGTGTACAAAGCGAGGTCCATAAAGAAATTGTTTGTCGAGATCGGTGTGGAAGAACTTGACTAGCCTGCACAGAGCCCTGACCTCAACCCCATCAAACACCTTTGGGATGAATTGGAAGGCCGACTGCGAGCCAGGCCTAATCGCCCAACATCAGTGCCCGACCTCACTAATGCTCTTGTGGCTGAATGGAAGCAAGTCCCGCAGCAATGTTCCAACATCTAGTTGAAAGCCTTCCCAGAAGAGTGGAGGCAGTTATAGTAGCAAATGGGGGACCAAATCCATATTAATGCCCATGATTTTGGAATGAGATGTTTGATGAGCAGGTGTCCACATACTTTTGGTCATGTAGTGTACATCCATTCATTTTTTAAAACTGGTACCAGGCTACCTTCAGACAAGTCTTGTGAGGTTTGTGGGCGTTCCTAGAGAAAAACAACAGTCATGCACGTGTTCATGAGAGTCTCATCTTTCCATAGAGTGGTCATCTCTGGCTGTATAGACAGTATCTCTCTGGTTGTATAGACAGTATCTCTCTCAGGCTGTGCAGACCTAGGTGATGAGGAAGTGCTTCGCTGCCTGTGGTTTTACATGAATTGTGCTCCATCTGTCATTACCTTCCCTAGCCTCTTTCATATTTATTCCTGCTTCTCCTATCCTATCCTCGTCTCTGTTTTACTGTTTCGCTCTCCCAAATCCTTAACCTCTCACCTCTATCCCTCTATATCGCCCTCCCTCCCTCCCCCTCTCTTCCCTCCATCTCCCCACAGATATGTCAGCCCTGATCTCCCTGAGAAAGAGAGCCCAGGCGGAGAAGCCTCTAGCTGGGGCGAAGATAGTGGGCTGCACCCACATCACAGCTCAGACTGCAGTAGGTTATCTTGCTCTCTCCTCCACCATACACCATCTTAGATCCGTAGACCTACAGTATATGAGAAGCCTCTAGCTGGGGCGAAGATAGTGGGCTGCACCCACATCACAGCTCAGACTGCAGTAGGTTATCTTGCTCTCTCCTCCACCATACACCATCTTAGATCCATAGACCTACTGTATATGAGAAGCCTCTAGCTGGGGCGAAGATAGTGGGCTGCACCCACATCACAGCTCAGACTGCAGTAGGTTATCTTGCTCTCTCCTCCACCATACACCATCTTAGATCCATAGACCTACAGTATATGAGAAGCCTCTAGCTGGGGCGAAGATAGTGGGCTGCACCCACATCACAGCTCAGACTGCAGTAGGTTATCTTGCTCTCTCCTCCACCATACACCATCTTAGATCCATAGACCTACAGTATATGAGAAGCCTCTAGCTGGGGCGAAGATAGTGGGCTGCACCCACATCACAGCTCAGACTGCAGTAGGTTATCTTGCTCTCTCCTCCACCATACACCATCTTAGATCCATAGACCTACAGTATATGAGAAGCCTCTAGCTGGGGCGAAGATAGTGGGCTGCACCCACATCACAGCTCAGACTGCAGTAGGTTATCTTGCTCTCTCCTCCACCATACACCATCTTAGATCCATAGACCTACAGTATATGAGAAGCCTCTAGCTGGGGGCGAAGATGGTGGTCTCCTCCAGTATACAATCATACTGTCTTTGACTTTCCTGACTGTCAAATGAATCAGACATTCAGTGATGAGGAACAGTTCGGCTTAAAGCACTTTGCTCCAGACATGGCAGAGTACAGCTTGATAGATAGATTTTTGTGTTATTGTTGATGGTTTACATTTACCTCAATGTAAGAGCTTATCGTGTGTGTGTGTGTGTGTTGCCCCCAGGTTCTGATAGAGACCCTGGTAGCTCTTGGAGCTCAGTGTCGTTGGACAGCCTGTAACATCTACTCTACTCAGAACGAGGTGGCTGCTGCCCTGGCAGAGACTGGTGAGAACACACATCACATAGTGGACCCTCTCTCTCTCTCTCTCTCTCTCTCTCTCTCTATCTCCTCTCTCTCTCTCTCTCTCTCTCTCTCTACTCTCTCTCTCTCTCTCTCTCTCTCTCTCTCTCTCTCTCCTCTCTCTCTCTCTCTCTCTCTCTCTCTCTCTCTATCTCTCTCTCTCTCTCTCTCTCTCTCTCTCTCTCTCTCTCTCTCTCTCTCTCTCTCTCTCTCTGTCTGTGTCTGTCTGTCTGTCTGTCTCTCTCGCTTTCGGTCTCTTTCTGTCTGTCTCTATCGCTTTCGGTCTCTTTCTGTCTGTCTCTCTCGCTTTCGGTCTCTCTCTCTCTCTCTTCCTCTTCCTCTCTCTCTCTATCTTCTTCTCCTCTTTCTCTCTCTCTCGCGTTCTGTCTCTCTTGCTTTCTGTCTCTTTCTGTCTCTGTCGCTTTCTGTCTTTCTCTCTTTGTCTCTCTCTCTCTTCCTCTCTCTCATCCTCTCTCTCTCTCCTCTCCCCTACAGGTGTGCCTGTGTTTGCGTGGAAGGGCGAGTCAGAGGATGACTTTTGGTGGTGCATCGACCGCTGTGTCAACAAAGAAGGCTGGCAGGCCAACATGGTACCTAAACTACTAAACCATTCAATAATAGACTTGACGTCAGACCTGGGTCAAATATTTATTATATGTATGCACTTGAGACGTGCTTGATTTAACTTGCCAGGCACAATTTAACCATTTGGAATAGTCCCATTACTGAAAACTCCATACTGGGCAAGCAAAATCATGCACACCTCAGGTATTTCAGATATTGGAAATGCACACACATTCACCCCGAGGTCTGCTTGACATTGATCATGCAGTGATGCCCCACCCCCACTGTGGAAGGTGATTGTTGACGCCACCATCTAATCTATTACCATTGTGCTGTCGTTGTTAGATCCTGGATGACGGAGGGGATCTGACCCACTGGGTTTATAAGAAGTACCCCAGCGTGTTCAAGAAGGCTCAGGGCATCGTGGAGGAGAGTGTCACTGGGGTCCACAGGTGAGAAATAGCCTTCCCAAAACATTGGTCACATACATCCACAGCAAGGAGAGACATTTTGGAACTTTTTGTCATTGGTCCAGTTTCTCCTCCGTTGTCATTGGTCCAGTTTCTCCTCCGTTGTCATTGGTCCAGTTTCTCCTCCGTTGTCATTGGTCCAAGTTTCTCCTCCGTTGTCATTGGTCCAAGTTTATCCTCCGTTGTCATTGGTCCAAGTTTATCCTCCGTTGTCATTGGTCCAAGTTTATCCTCCGTTGTCATTGGTCCAAGTTTATCCTCCGTTGTCATTGGTCCAAGTTTATCCTCCGTTGTCATTGGTCCAAGTTTATCCTCCGTTGTCGTTGGTCCAGTTTATCCTCCGTTGGTCTGTGGCTCACCTAAAGGTCTTTCTTCTTTCCAATCCTTTACCCTCAGGCTGTACCAGCTGTCCAAGGCAGGCAAGCTGTGTGTCCCGGCCATGAACGTGAACGACTCTGTTACCAAGCAGAAGTTTGACAACCTCTACTGCTGCAGAGAGTCCATCCTGGACGGGTGAGGAGGAGTTGTCATGTAGAATATAATAAAGGAACGTTAACAACTGTCCTTTCTTTGACCTTTTTTTCTAGTAATAGAATAATAACACTGATATGAAATATCTTACTTCATGGAATCACAACTATGTCCCCAAGCAGATCACAGAGTGGTTTTAGAGTTTGTGTTTAGTTTGTGATAGTTGTCATACCTGGCTTACCTGGTTAAATAAAGGTGGAATAAAAAATAATAATAATAATAGACAACCTTCTAATCTAAATAATGTATTTCCCTTCTTGTTGCAGTTTGAAGAGGACCACTGATGTGATGTTTGGGGGGAAACAGGTGGTGGTGTGCGGTTATGGAGAGGTGGGGAAGGGTTGCTGTTCTGCTCTGAAGGCCATGGGAGCCATCGTCTGCATCACAGAGATAGACCCCATCTGTGCCCTGCAGGGCTGGTAAGAAACCCCTGGGGCAACATTTTACTCTTCTTAAAATTATATTTTTTTACAATTCAATAGTGGTGTCATTATTGGGAATGTTTTTGGAATTATTTTTCTTCTACACGATAGCATGGATGGGTTCAGGGTGGTCAAGCTGAATGAAGTCATTCGCCAGATGGATATTGTGATAACCTGCACAGGTAAACTAGAAACCAATCAAATCAATCAATTATATATATATATATATATATATATATATATATATATATATATATATATATATATATATATATATATACATACAGTGGGGAGAACAAGTATTTGATACCACTGCCGATTTTGCAGGTTTTCCTACTTACAAAGCATGTAGAGGTCTGTCATTTTTATCATAGGTACACTTCAACTGTGAGAGACAGAATCTAAAACAAAAATCCAGAAAATCACATTGTATGATTTTTAAGTAATTAATTTGCATTTTATTGCATGACATAAGTATTTGATCACCTACCAACCAGTAAGAATTCCGGCTCTCACAGACCTGTTAGTTTTTCTTTAAGAAGCCCTCCTGTTCTCCACTCATTACCTGTATTAACTGCACCTGTTTGAACTCGTTACCTGTATAAAAGACACCTGTCCACACACTTAATCAAACAGGCTCCAACCTCTCCACAATGGCCAAGACCAGAGAGCTGTGTAAGGACATCAGGGATACAATTGTAGACCTGCACAAGGCTGGGATGGGCTACAGGACAATAGGCAAGCAGCTTGGTGAGAAGGCGCAATTATTAGAAAATGGAAGAAGTTCAAGATGACGGTCAATCACCCTCGGTCTGTGGCTCCATGCAAGATCTCACCTCGTGGGGCATCAATGATCATGAGGAAGGTGAGGGATCAGCCCAGAACTACACGGCAGGACCTGGTCAATGACCTGAAGAGAGCTGGGACCACAGTCTCAAAGAAAAGCATTAGTAACATACTACGCCGTCATGGATTCAAATCCTGCAGCGCACGCAAGGTCCCCCTGCTCAAGCCAGCGCATGTCCAGGCCCGTCTGAAGTTTGCCAATGACCATCTGGATGATCCAGAGGAGGAATGGGAGAAGGTCATGTGGACTGATGAGACAAAAATAGAGCTTTTTGGTCTAAACTCCACTCGCCGTGTTTGGAGGAAGAAGAAGGATGAGTACAACCCCAAGAACACCATCCCAACCGTGAAGCATGAAGGTGGAAACATCATTCTTTGGGGATGCTTTTCTGCAAAGGGGACAGGACGACTGCACCGTATTGAGGGGAGGATAGATGGGGCCATGTATCACGAGATCTTGGCCAACAACCTCCTTCCCTCAGTAAGAGCATTGAAGATGGGTCATGGCTGGGTCTTCCAGCATGACAACGACCCGAAACACACAGCCAGGGCAACTAAGGAGTGGCTCCGTAAGAAGCATCTCAAGATCCTGGAGTGGCCTAGCCAGTCTCCAGACCTGAACCCAATAGAAAATCTTTGGAGGGAGCTGAAAGTCCATATTGCCCAGCGACAGCCCCGAAACCTGAAGGATCTGGAGAAGGTCTGTATGGAGGAGTGGGCCAAAATCCCTGCTGCAGTCTGTGCAAACCTGGTCAAGACCTACAGGAAACGTATGATCTCTGTAATTGCAAACAAAGGTTTCTGTACCATATATTAAGTTCTGCTTTTCTGATGTATCAAATACTTATGTCATGCAATAAAATGCAAATTAATTACTTAAAAATCATACAATATGATTTTCTGGATTCCGTCTCTCACAGTTGAAGTGTACCTCTGATAATAATTACAGACCTCTAAATGCTTTGTAAGTGGGAAAACCTGCAAAATCGGCAGTGTATCAAATACTTGTTCTCCCCACTGTATATATATTCCTAAAGTCATTTTCACATCATCAGTTGTCACAAAGGGCTTTACAGTAACTCGGCCTAGAGGGGCGAGCAGAACCACAGTGGTCCGGAAAGCAGACAGGTTTTATTCTATTTCACTGATAATCATAAAACTATCTTCAAATTGAAATAACCCAGCAGATGTCCATGTTTATGACTCAGCTTTTATCCACCAGACGTCAAGCCAGTGGTCACCTGTTTAAACCACTCAGTATCTTTATCAAACCAGTTGGTGACTCACTTCATAACAGATTACATTAAGTATTCTCTCTCTCTCTCTCTCTCTCTCTCTGTCTCTCTGTCTCCCTGTCTCTCTGTCTCTCTGCTCTCTCTGTCTCTCTCTCTCCCTCTCTGTCTCCCTCTCTGTCTATCTCTCTGTCTCTCTCTCTGTCTCTCTCTCTGTCTCTCTCTCTGTCTCTCTCTCTGTCTCTCTCTCTGTCTCTCTGTCTCTCTGTCTCTCTCTCTCTCCCTCTCTGTCTCTCTCTCTCTCTCTCTCTCTGTCTCTCTGTCTCTCTGTCTCTCTGTCTCTCTGTCTCTCTGTCTCTCTCCCTCTCTGTCTCTCTCTGTCTCTCTCTCTGTCTCTCTCTGTGTATTACCGATGACTTTTCAATCAGAGCTCAGATGAACAAGGAGGACTGACTGTGTTGTGTTGTTGTTGTGATGTCACTCAGGCAATAAGAACGTGGTGACCAGAGAGCAGCTGGACCGGATGAAGAACGGATGTATAGTCTGCAACATGGGACATTCCAATACTGAGATTGATGTGGTGAGTTACTTTTACGTGGGTGGGTGGGTGTTCTGCTGCTCTGTCACTAACCGCTGGGTCTGGTCTCTCTCCCTGCTAGGCCAGCCTGCGGAGCCCGGAGCTCACCTGGGAAAGGGTGCGTTCTCAGGTGGACCATGTGATCTGGCCCGACGGCAAGAGGGTCATCCTGCTGGCTGAGGTACTGAATACACCACACACACACACAGTACCTGGTCCTGTTGGCTGAGGTATGGTACCTGGTCCTGTTGGCTGAGGTATGGTACCTGGTCCTGTTGGCTGAGGTATGGTACCTGGTCCTGTTGGCTGAGGTACGGTACCTGGTCCTGTTGGCTGAGGTACGGTACCTGGTCCTGTTGGCTGAGGTACGGTACCTGGTCCTGTTGGCTGAGGTACGGTACCTGGTCCTGTTGGCTGAGGTACGGTACCTGGTCCTGTTGGCTGAGGTATGGTACCTGGTCCTGTTGGCTGAGGTACGGTACCTGGTCTGTCCTGTTGGCTGAGGTTATGGTACCTGGTCCTGTTGGCTGAGGTATGGTACCCGGTCCTTTGGCTGAGGGTTGGTCCTGAGGTATGGGACCTGGTCCTGTTGGCTGAGGTATGGTACCTGGTCCTGTTGGCTGAGGTAGATGACCTGGTCCTGTTGGCTATGGAGGTAGATGACCTGGTCCTGTTGGCTGAGGTAGGTTACCTGGTCCTGTTGGCTGAGGTAGGTTACCTGGTCCTGTTGGCTGAGGTAGATGACCTGGTCCTGTTGGCTGAGGTATGGTACCTGGTCCTGTTGGCTGAGGTAGATGACCTGGTCCTGTTGGCTGAGGTAGATGACTGGTCCTGTTGGCTGAGGTAGATGACCTGGTCCTGTTGGCTGAGGTAGATGACCTGGTCCTGTTGGCTGAGGTAGAGTACCTGGTCCTGTTGGCTGAGGTAGATGACCTGGTCCTGTTGGCTGAGGTAGATGACCTGGTCCTGTTGGCTGAGGTAGATGACCTGGTCCTGTTGGCTGAGGTAGATGACCTGGTCCTGTTGGCTGAGGTAGATGACCTGGTCCTGTTGGCTGAGGTAGATGACCTGGTCCTGTTGGCTGAGGTAGATGACCTGGTCCTGTTGGCTGAGGTAGATGACCTGGTCCTGTTGGCTGAGGTACCTGGGTCTATTGGCTGAGGTACCTGGGTCTATTGGCTGAAGTAGAGTACCTGGGTCCTTCCACCAAAAGTGCCTTTTGCGTCAATATTGAATTTTAAAAGCCTGTAATATTAAATGAAGTGCCCTTTAATATAGACCACATGAATAAAGACTTGCTGAAGTGCCACAATTCAGCATTTTGACATGTCCCTCTGTGCATCCTCTTTGACTTCTCGGAAGATTTGAACCCACTTAACCCCAACATTTCTCCCAAGCTTCACCATCATTGTAAAGCCCTAGTTATTTTGTTGCTTTGACAAAGTCATTTCTGAAGATTATTATTTATTTCATGTGATTTAGTGATTCATTTACGTCTGTCCCTCATTTTAAGGTCAACCCCTTTTACGTGAACTGAACTCTCGTTTTTAATAGGGTGACACTATTCATTTTTTTAAATATTTTTTTTCTAAAGAAATATTGAACATTGAAATCAGGCGATCTCGTTCTACTCTTTTTGGCCATTTTCTGGTGTTTTTGTGGTGGAAACCCTGTTAACCCTGATACCTACCCATAGATAAGACCGGCTAGAAATGTTTGAACAATTTAATTTTTTTGGTGAAGCTTGCATCCTTACTAGATGGCCGCCATTTTGCAAGCTCCGACCCAACTTTGCTATTTTGTAGTTTATTTTTACTTATTTTCACTAAATGTATCCGCGATCATTTCTTACAACCGACAATAACTTTTGAACATCAGATCAGCAGTTACTTACCTCAATTTCAGCTTCAACTTCGACTCATCTGCACTGGGCACTTTCTGTAATTCCGACCCAATTTTCGGGCTACCCAAGAGGAAACGCCGACGTTACAGAGGCAAGAGAGGGGGGGGATCCTGGAGAGATTAAGGCTAAGGGATAACCGGCCTCCTCCTCACTCAATGCTGTTGTACAGTCACTTGATAATAAGATGGATGACCTCCGATCGCAGATTTGCTACCAACGGGATTACGAAACTGTAATATTCTTTTGCTTTTCTGAAACATGGCTCTTGCACAAGATACCATAACAACCAATAACAACATCGTGCTGGGTAATGAGGGCCGCCACTGACCCAGAGGACTGGGTGATCTCGATCTCCGAGGTCGACGTGACTAAGGTCTTTAGTCAGGTCAACACCCACTAGGCCGCGGGGCCTGACGGTATTCCAGGGCGTGTTCTCAGAGCATGTGCAGAACAGCTGGCAGGCGTATTCACAGTCATTTTCAACCTCTCCTTGTCCCAGTCTGTAATCATCCACATGTTTTAAGATGACCACCATCATTCCTGTTCCTAAGAACTCTAAGGCTTCATGCCACAATGACTACCGCCTTGTAGCACTCACATCTGTAATCATGAAGCCTTAGAGTTCTTAGGAACAGGAATGATGGTGGTCTCCTGATTGGCGCAGTGGTCTAAGGCACTGCATCGCAGTGCTAGCTGTGCCACTAGAGATCCTGGTTCGAATCCAGGCTCTGTCGTAGCCGGCCGTGACCGGGAGACCCATGGGGCGGCGCGCAATTGGCCCAGCGTCGTCCAGGGTAGGGGAGGGAATGGCCGGCAGGGATGTAGCTCAGTTGATAGAGCATGGCGTTTGCAACGCCAGGGTTGTGGGTTTGATTCCCACGGGGGGCCAGTATAAAAAAGATATGTATTCACTAACTGTAAGTCGCTCTGGATAAGAGCGTCTGCTAAATGACTAAAATGTAAAATGTAAATGTAATGAAGCGCCGTGAGAGGCTGGTTATGACATACATCAACTCCATCATCCCAGACACCCTAGACCCACTCCAATTTGCATTTTGCCCCAGCAGAATCGTAGACGACGCAATCTCAATTGCATTCCACATTGCCCTCTCCCACCTGGACAAGAGGAACACCTATGTGATAACGCTGTTCATTGACTACAGCTCAGCATTCAACACCATTGTCCCCTCCAAGCTCGTCACCATGCTTAGGACCCTGGGAATGAACACCTTCCTCTGCAACTGGATCCTGGACTTCCTGACGGGCCGACCCCAGGTGATGAGGGTAGGCAACATCACCTCCGCCACGCTGACACTCGTCATGGGGGACCCACAGGGGTGTGTGTGCTTAGTCCCCTCCTGTACTCCCTGTTCACCCATGACGACATGGCCATGCACGACTCCAACACCATCAAGTTTTCTGACAACATGACGGTGGTAAGCCTGATCACCGGCGACGATGAGACAGCCTACAGGGTGGAGGTCAGTGACCTGGCAGTGTGGTGCCAGGACAACAACCTCTCCCTCAACGTCAGTAAGACCAGGGAGCTGATTGTGGAGTACAGAAAGGGGGGGGGGGGCTCTTCCCCTCAAGAGGTTGAAAAGGTTTGGCATAGGCCCTCAAATCCTCAAAACGTTCTACAGCTGCACCACTGAGAGCATCTTGACCGGCTGCATCACCTCTTGGTTTGGAAACAGCACCGCCCTCGATCTCATGGCGCTACAGAGGGTCGTGCAGACAGCCCAAGTACACCACTGGGACCGAGCTCCCTGCCATCCAGGACCTCTATACCTAGGCGGTGTAAGAGGAAGGCCCGGAAAATCGTTAAAGACTCCAGCCACCCAAGCCATAGACTGTTCTCTCTACTTCCGCACGCCAAGCGGTACCGATGCAAGTCTGACACCAACAGGCTCCAGGCAGCTTCTGTCCCCAAGCCATAAGACTGCTAAATAGCTAACAAAATGGCTACACTGACTATCTGAGTTGACCCTTGTATGAATATATTTCTCTATTGTTACAGGCTTTTGTTTTTCCATTTATGTTTTGAGGTTGTACTTTAGCACGTATAGGTCGTTAGCACGTGGAGCGCAATGATTGGTGTCACCTCGTTAGTCAGTATGTGTTACACCTGTACTGGTTCCGATCTCGTTAGTGGGAAGGTGTTTCACCTGTGCTGGCCCAGGAGCTATTTAAGAGTGTCTGGTCCAGTGCTCCAGTTGTTTTGATAGATGTGGAGGGTTGACTCCTTTTAGTTGTCTTGATAGATGTGGAGGGTTGACTCCTTTAGTTGTCTTGTTAGATGTTGCGGGTTAACACCTTTTAGTTGTCTTGATGCGGAGGGTTAACTGCTTTAGTTGTCTTGATAGATGTGGAGGGTTAACTGCTTTAGTTGTCTTCATAGATGTGGAGGGTTGACTCCTTTAGTTGTCTTGATAGATGTGGAGGGTTAACTCCTTTTAGTTGTCTTGATAGATGTGGAGGGTTGACTCATTTAGTTGTCTTGATAGATGTGGAGGGTTGACTCCTTTTGTTGTCTTGATAGATGTGGAGGGTTGACTCCTTTTGTTGTCTTGATAGATGTGGAGGGTTGACTCCTTTAGTTGTCTTGATAGATGTGGAGGGTTGACTCCTTTAGTGTCTTGATAGATGTGGAGGGTTAACTCCTTTTAGTTGTCTTGATAGATGTGGAGGGTTGACTCATTTAGTTGTCTTGATAGATGTGGAGGGTTGACTCCTTTAGTTGTCTTGATAGATGTGGAGGGTTGACTCCTTTAGTTGTCTTGATAGATGTGGAGGGTTGACTCCTTTTGTTGTCTTGATAGATGTGGAGGGTTGACTCCTTTAGTTGTCTTGATAGATGTGGAGGGTTAACTGCTTTAGTTGTCTTGATAGATGTGGAGGGTTAACACCTTTTTAGTTGTCTTGATAGATGTTGAGGGTTAACATCTTTAGTTGTCTTGTTAGATGTTGCGGGTTAACACCTTTTAGTTGTCTTGATGCGGAGGGTTAACTGCTTTAGTTGTCTTGATAGATGTGGAGGGTTAACTGCTTTAGTTGTCTTCATAGATGTGGAGGGTTGACTGCTTTAGTTGTCTTGATAGATGTGGAGGGTTAACTCATTTAGTTGTCTTGATAGATGTGGAGGGTTAACTGCTTTAGTTGTCTTGATAGATGTGGAGGGTTGACTCCTTTAGTTGTCTTGATAGATGTGGAGGGTTAACTGCTTTAGTTGTCTTCATAGATGTGGAGGGTTAACACCTTTAGTTGTCTTGATAGATGTGGAGGGTTAACACCTTTAGTTGGCTCTCCCTATTTTGATTTCTAGACAAAAAATATATTATCTGATTTCATTTTAGTCCACCTTTTTGGTTTGCTTCCTGTCTTTAAGTTTGGTGTGGGTTTTTACTTTGTGTACCTGTTAATAATAATAATAATAATAATATAATAATAATAATATGCCATTTAGCAGACGCTTTTATCCAAAGCGACTTAGTCATGTGTGCATACATTTTTACGTATGGGTGGTCCCGGGGATCGAACCCACTACCCTGGCGTTACAAGCGCCGTGCTCTACCAATTGGGCAAATTTAGTGGGTGCTCGTGGTGGGTGTCTTTTAGGTCTCAGTTGTTGTTGTTAGTCAACTTTCAGTGGACACCCCCGTGAGTGTCTTTCAGAACCCCTCCTATAAAAACCCACCTGTTTCGTTTTGGTTGTCGTCAGTGACGCTTTAGTTCCCCTTTCTGTTTGAGTGAACGTAACACTATGTACTCTCACAGGGCCCTCTTCTGGCTGTGCCGGGGGGAGATTAGAAGAGGACATGGCCGTTAAGGCCAGATCGTTCTTCAAGATGTTCAAACGTTCATAGATTACCACTCACTTCATCACACACACACACACATAATATACATGTATTTATACTGACTCTACACACACTCGCATACAATCGTCATATACACTGCTTCTACTCTATTTATCATATATCCTGATGCCTAGTCACTTTACCCCTATACATATCTACCTCCATCACTCCAGTATCCCCTGCACATTGTTAATATGGTACTGGAACTGACCCTGTATATAGTCACTTTACCCCTATACATATCTACCTCCATCACTCCAGTATCCCTGCACATTGTTAATATGGTACTGGAACTGACCCTGTATATAGTCACTTTACCCCTATACATATCTACCTCCATCACTCCAGTATCCCTGGACATTGTTAATATGGTACTGGAACTGACCCTGTATATAGTCACCTTACCCCTATACATATCTACCTCCATCACTCCAGTATCCCTGCACATTGTTAATATGGTACTGGAACTGACCCTGTATATAGTCACTTTACCCCTATACATATCTACCTCCATCACTCCAGTATCCCCTGCACATTGTTAATATGGTACTGGAACTGACCCTGTATATAGTCACTTTACCCCTATACATATCTACCTCCATCACTCCAGTATCCCTGCACATTGTTAATATGGTACTGGAACTGACCCTGTATATAGTCACCTTACCCCTATACATATCTACCTCCATCACTCCAGTATCCTGCACATTGTTAAATGACTGAAAATGACCCTGTAATTAGTTTCACCTTACCCCTTATACATATTACCCTAATTACTCAGGTATCCCTGACTGTTAACTGGAACTGACCCTGTATATACTATGCTTGCTTACTTTATTATGTTCTTCTTTTTATTTCTCGTGTGTTTTTCTTCTACCTTATGTTATTTTTAATATTACATTGATATTGATCACTGCATTGTTGGGTTCAGAGCTTACTTAAAAGTAACAATAAAAGACCACTCTAAAATGTGCCGTTTTGTCACACAACTCAATGCCACAGATGTCTCAAGTTTTGAGGGAGCGTGCAATTGTCATGCTGACTGCAGAAATGTCCAATAGAGCTGTTGCCAGAGAATTTAATGTTCATTTCTCTACCATAAGCCTCCTCCAACGTCGTTTTAGAGAATTTGGCAGTACATCCAACCGGCCTCACAACCGCAGTCCACGTGTAACCACGCCAGCCCAGGAACTCCACATCAGGCTTCTTCACCTGCGGGATCGTCTGAGGAGGGGGAAGGGAGGGGGGGGATGCTCAGGAGTATTTCTGTCTGTAATAAAGTTATTTTGTGGGGAAAAACTCATTCTGATTGGCTGGGCCTGGCTCCCCAGTGGGTGGACATGGCTCCCAAGTGGGTGGGCCAATCCCAGGGCCCACCTCAGGGAAAAGCTAAACCCTTCTAGTGTACAAATACTTCATTGGAGGTTTCCAATGAATTCCTGGTGACCTTTGTCACCTTTGCAGTCCCAACTGATTAATTGGAATGGTAACAAATACTTTGTTATAGTCCACTACCCTGTATCACTTACTCAGCTGCTTGTTAATATGGTTGGAACTGACCTGTTATAGTACTTTACCCCTATGGATATCTACCTCCATCACTCCAGTATCCCCTGGACAGTGTTAATATGGTACTGGAATGCCTGTATATGGTCTTTCAGCCTATCGGGTATCATTACCTCGATTCATACTCCGGTATCCCTGACATTGGTTACTTGGGGTTGGAACGGTGACCTGTGTTACTAGTGCTTTGCTTACTTCGTTGTCTCTGGTTGTTATTTCTCGTGTGTTGTTTCTCTTCTAACTTAGTTATTGTTATATTACTTGATTTGTTACTGCATTGGTTGGGTTCAGGGTTACTTAAAAGTAAACAATAAAATACCACTGTAAAATGTGCCGTTTTCTCACACAACTCAATGCCACAGATGTCTCAAGTTTTGAGGGAGCGTGCAATTGTCATGCTGACTGCAGAAATGTCCAATAGAGCTGTTGCCAGAGAATTTAATGTTCATTTCTCTACCATAAGCCTCCTCCAACGTCGTTTTAGAGAATTTGGCAGTACATCCAACCGGCCTCACAACCGCAGTCCACGTGTAACCACGCCAGCCCAGGAACTCCACATCAGGCTTCTTCACCTGCGGGATCGTCTGAGGAGGGGGAAGGGAGGGGGGGATGCTCAGGAGTATTTCTGTCTGTAATAAAGTTATTTTGTGGGGAAAAACTCATTCTGATTGGCTGGGCCTGGCTCCCCAGTGGGTGGACATGGCTCCCAAGTGGGTGGGCCAATCCCAGGCCCACCCATGAAAAAGCTACAAACAACCTTCTAGAGATACAAAATACTTCATTGGAGAGGTTTTCCACAATGAGATGTATCCTGGTGACCTTTTTGTCACCTTTGTCAGCTCCCAGACCTGACTCTGTTATTGAAAATGCAACAAAATACTGACTTTGCCTGAGTGGTTCCCCACTAACTCCATGGAACTAAAGGCTTTTTCTTCCCATCGTTGACCAATGCTCTGTGGTATCAGGGTGTACTCTGGGGTGTGGTATCAGGGTGTACTCTGGGGTGTGGTATCAGGGAGTACTCTGGGGTGTGGTATCAGGGTGTACTCTGGGGTTTGGTATCAGGGTGTACTCTGGGGTGTGGTATCAGGGTGTACTCTGGGGTGTGGTATCAGGGTGTACTCTGGGGTGTGGTATCGGGGTGTACTCTGGGGTGTGGTATCAGGGTGTACTCTGGGGTGTGGTATCAGGGTGTACTCTGGGGTGTGGTATCGGGGTGTACTCTGGGGTGTGGTATCAGGGTGTACTCTGGGGTGTGGTATCAGGGTGTACTCTGGGGTGTGGTATCAGGGTGTACTCTGGGGTGTGGTATCAGGGTGTACTCTGGGGTGTGGTATCAGGGTGTACTCTGGGGTGTGGTATCAGGGTGTACTCTGGGTGTGGTATCAGGGTTGTACTCTGGGGTGTGGTATCAGGGTGTACTCTGGGGTTTGGTATCAGGGTGTACTCTGGGGTTGTGGTATCAGGGTGTACTCTGGGGTGTGGTATCAGGGTGTACTCTGGGGTCTTCTTTCATAGCTGGACTCATCTGTGTGTTCCTTAAATTTAGTTCAGTAACACAACCGTACAACTGTTATCTCTTCTAATCTCTGTTTTTGATTTCAAAGTTCATTATGTCAGTTTCCCTGTGAATGGCTACATAACTGACCAGTTGATTCATGTAATGTGTGATTGTGTTTCCTGTAGGGTCGCCTGTTGAATCTGAGCTGTTCCACAGTGCCCACGTTTGTTCTGTCTATCACAGCTACTACTCAGGTGAGGCATCTAGTTTGTTTATATGACAGTTGTGTCCAGAAACAGTGGTTTGCACACAAAAACACAACACAAAAAAAATATGTATTTTCTATTGGTAAAAATATAAATTTCGTATAAACTTAGACAACAGTCAGTATCAACTATATCGAAGCACCCCTAAATTGAATGCTGAGGTGTGTTGTTTTTATTAGTCATACTTTTTGCTTTAGAGGTTTGCTGAAGACAGACTAGAGTTAGGATATCTCCCGCTCTCCTGTTCCGCTGCTACCTGAGCTTTGTGAGAACGGGATGTTGGCAGCGTCCAGACTCTGTGAGAACGGGATGTTGGCAGCGTCCAGACTCTGTGGTGATCTCTCTCTCTCTCTGTAGGCTCTGGCTCTGATTGAGTTGTTCAATGCTCCGGAGGGACGTTACAAACAGGACGTCTATCTGCTGCCTAAGAAGATGGGTAAGACCTGGGGCCCGTCCCAAATGGCACCCCATTCCCTATTTAGTGCACTACATTTGACCAAGCCATAGGGCTTTTTGGGAAGCAGACCATCGATCTGCATACATACAAGTAGTCTTTGACTGAGCCTTATTGATGAAAATCTTTAATGAATAGATACCAAATCTCGATAAATTTGGTACCACACAGGTTTCAACGGGCAGTTTGTTTTATGTGGCTCGATGTCGCCACCTAGTGCTTTTTCTTTATTTAACCACAAAACTGCATTTTTCCAAACAAGTTTGAACAAGAAATATGTGTGTGTTTATGTGGTGTAATACTACCCATATGGGCTCTGGTCTAAAGTAGTGCACTACAGAGGGTAGTGCACTACAGAGGTGCCCTCCTCACAATCCACCTGTGTCTTCCATCCAGATGAGTACGTGGCCAGTTTGCACATGCCCAACTTTGACGCCCACCTGACGGAGCTGTCTGACGAGCAGGCCAAGTACATGGGCCTGAACAAGAACGGACCCTTCAAACCCAACTACTACAGGTACTGAGACCTTCTGTTTTTCCCTTTTCCCACCCGATTCTCTCACTGTTTAAAACATTGAAGTAAGCCTTGTCCGAACCAGAACAGCCCATATCTCCTGTTATTCTGCAGCTTGGTGTACGATTACACCCCTGGACAGGACGTCTGTCGAAGGGCCTTGAGAGCCATTAGGTCCCATTTTTAGAGTCTTTGGTATGACTCGACTGGGGATCGAACTCCAGTGTTGAAAATTAGCTCTGCAATAGGGTTGGAGTGAGGACCACTATCAAAGGCAAACTAAACAATTATCCTAGGCTAAAAACAAAGGAATAGAGGCAAATCCTGAAAGTGAAATAAGGAATTCTAAATGCAAAAGGTCAAGAGCCAAGTCAGCAAGAAATAAACAAACAAACAAACATTCTCTCAAATATTTCAGGTAATATTACCGGTTGCCTAGGTAATGACTCTGACAAAACAAAAAACTAAAAGGTAGAAATACCTTCTCTGATGAGGTAGTCTGTATTTGATTGAGTGTGGTGATGGGTGTTGGGGATGATCTGGGGTTAGGGTTTTAGATGTGGGTTAGTAGGTGGTACTGATTTTAGTTTTGGAAAAGGGAACGTAATCATACACTCGTGGGACAGCACAAATATTATATGGCATGGTACTGTATTACACAGATATTGTGTAGACAAATTAAATCGAACTGTAGTCACATGATTGTTTTTAATGAAATCATATCTACTGTCTATGTCTCCAAGGTATTGATGGGAATGGACAATGCAGCGACCTGCAACCAGCAACATCTGGAATAAGTTCATATAATATCTCTATTTTATTTGATAAGTTATTACAAAATGAAGAAGAATAATTATTTTGCTTATGCTGAATGTAAATTGTATTATTAATATTGATTATAATATCTAACTTGTCTTGTCAGGCATAGTAACATTGATATAATATCTAAGTTGTCTGTCAGGTACATGAATCAATCCATGCATTTCAAGCATCTCAAACAACAGCAGAGACCAATGTGTGTTCCAAATGGCACCCTATTCCCTATAAAATGTGTTCCAAATGGCACCCTATTCCCTATAAAATGTGTTCCAAATGGCACCCTATTCCCTATATAATGTGTTCCAAATGGCACCCTATTCCCTATATAATGTGTTCCAAATGGCACCCTATTCCCTATGTAACGCACCACATAAGGAATACGGTGCCATTTGGAACTCAGCCCCAGAGAAATAACCATAAGAAATGTTAGTCCTATATTTTAGTCTGCTGGCTACGCTTTCATCTCCTGAAGTATCAATTTAGCTGCTAATGCTAATGTTTCTGAATCACAATGTTCATTAACGTCAATATGTCACTGTAATGTAGTCCTGTTTACTCCTTAAAGTCATACATGATGGTGCCAAATGATGGCCGTGATGTTAATGGTCGAGAGGAGGAGGAGGATGAGAGGGTTATGTTTCCTGTTTCTGTGCACACGCACTCGCTGATATATTAAATTAAGTTTCATTCCATGAGCCAGAATTGGGTTTGTGATCCTAACTGGGCTGTTTTTTAATGTCTGGTGACGCATTGAAGAAACTCGCTTGACTGGTATCTGCATTCATACTTGTCCTTAAGCTCAGAGTGTGAATATGCCTTCTGAGCCACTTCCTTATCAGTTTAATCTCAATGTTAAGTTAATTCCGTGGCTATTTCTTATGTTTGAAATTCTTCCGATTTTTAGAGATTTAAAAGCATAGTTTGTCCTAGTTGATCTGTAGCTCGTCCTACGTTGACAGACATGCCTTGAGGTGATTTCTGCTTTCACTTCCTTATGTTGATCACCTAAATGATTTATACTTGTGATTGTTGTAACTGGATGTGAATTAATGTATAATATATCAGAAATAAACTCCTCCTATAATTAATAAACAGAAATATAAGTCTACAATTTGTTTGTAGAATTGAATTATGAATGTAATAGTCTTTGTGTGTGTGTGTGTGTGTGTGTCAGAGAGAGGCTCGAGCGCCCACTCCAGTGTTGCATTCTTACCTTTTTCATTTTACCAGCCAGGCCCCGAGGCCCAGGTCTAAAACGACTTCATGTCATGTTCATGATGCTCTTTCGCGCCTCTTTCCTGAACCTGTCGCGCCAACACACCGCTATTACCTATTAAAACGGTCCAGCCTGTTAATTCTCTGCCCGGTGTTCAGCACTACTGTAGCGTTGTCGGGTTGCGTCCCACTATAGCATATTCGCAGGCTTCCCCAGAGCGCCTCACCGGCTGCAGTTACTAAATATTATCCGCTGAGTCACAGACTCTGAGTCACAGACTGTCACAGAAGATTCCAGAAAGGTGCTTTTAGTAAATAAGCCATGGATCTCTCTCAGTTGAGGCATATCTTTTGGAATAAACCGCACCACTCAAGGAGCAAGGCCTCGAACAGGGGAAAAAAACTACTCAGGACTCAAACGAGGTCCTTTTAATATCTCGAGAGAAGAACAAGACATCTACCGTTTGTAAGTTATAATGTTGACGCTGACAGGCAGTTTGTAGACCATGCCTATGCAGTTAGTTTAGATGGATTGATTATTGATCTTTCTGGCTATGAACAGGGAGAGAAAAAGCATGATTTTACCAAACCATTTTTAAAAATCAAATTTAAATAAGCAGTTTTGACTCTAATATATTTACATTGGGAAATGGTAGATATGTAGAATATATATCCATGTCCAATAGTAGACTATACACCTCTAGACATCTCAGTTGAGTGTAAATGAGCGAAACATATAATTAAGTATAAACGTCATACACATAACAGTAAGACAATAAAAGGCAGAAAATATTAAATTATGATGATAAAATACTGCTCTTAATCTTACTCTGTAGCTCAGCTGGTAGAGCACGGCGCTTGTAACGCCAAGGTAGTGGGTTCGATCCCCGGGACCACCCATACACAAAAAATGTATGCACGCATGACTGTAAGTCGCTTTGGATAAAAGCGTCTGCTAAATGGCATATTATTATATATTATTACTCATGCAGGAAACAAAAAAAAAAAAAAAAAAAGTATTCTATCTATCTAATCTTGTAGATTTAATGTATTATTTTGTTCACCCAAAATAAAAGTATATTTAATTTCATTTCAATGCAGGTGGCCATGAACCCCACTGACGCTGTGTTCGACGCCAAACGCCTGATCGGCAGGAAGTTCGACGACCAGATTGTTCAGTCAGACATGAAGCTGGGGCCTTCAAGGTGATTTTAAAATAGTAGTCAAATGTATTACAACCAAGTGCTCATTCTTCTACAAATGGTAACAGAAAAATCACAAACCAATAAAAACAAAAACAAAAAACACATACAGTGGGGAGAACAAGTATTTGATACACTGCCGATTTTGCAGGTTTTCCTACTTACAAAGCATGTAGAGGTCTGTAATTTTTATCATAGGTACACTTCAACTGTGAGCGACGGAATCTAAAACAAAAATCCAGAAAATCACATTGTATGATTTTTAAGTAATTAATTTGCATTTTATTGCACGACATAAGTATTTGATACATCAGAAAAGCAGAACTTAATATTTGGTACAGAAACCTTTGTTTGCAATTACAGAGATCATACGTTTCCTGTAGGTCTTGACCAGGTTTGCACACACTGCAGCAGGGATTTTGGCCCACTCCTCCATACAGACCTTCTCCAGATCCTTCAGGTTTCGGGGCTGTCGCTGGGCAATACAGACTTTCAGCTCCTTCCAAAGATTTTCCATTGGGTTCAGGTCTGGAGACTGGCTAGGCCACTCCAGGACCTTGAGATGCTTCTTACGGAGCCACTCCTTAGTTGCCCTGGCTGTGTGTTTCGGGTCGTTGTCATGCTGGAAGCCCCAGCCACGACCCATCTTCAGTGCTCTTACTGAGGGAAGGAGGTTGTTGGCCAAGATCTCGCGATACATGGCCCCATCCATCCTCCCCTCAATACGGTGCAGTCGTCCTGTCCCCTTTGCAGAAAAGCATCCCCAAAGAATGATGTTTCCACCTCCATGCTTCACGGTTGGGATGGTGTTCTTGGGGTTGTACTCATCCTTCTTCTTCCTCCAAACACGGCGAGTGGAGTTTAGACCAAAAAGCTCTATTTTTGTCTCATCAGACCACATGACCTTCTCCCATTCCTCCTCTGGATCATCCAGATGGTCATTGGCAAACTTCAGACGGGCCTGGACATGCGCTGGTTTGAGCAGGGGGACCTTGCGTGCGCTGCAGGATTTGAATCCATGACGGCGTAGTGTGTTACTAATGGTTTTCTTTGAGACTGTGGTCCCAGCTCTCTTCAGGTCATTGACCAGGTCCTGCTGTGTAGTTCTGGGCTGATCCCTCACCTTCCTCATGATCATTGATGCCCCACGAGGTGAGATCTTGCATGGAGCCCCAGACCGAGGGTGATTGACCATCACCTTGAACTTCTTCCATTTTCTAATAATTGCGCCAACAGTTGTTGCCTTCTCACCAAGCTGCTTGCCTATTGTCCTGTAGCCCATCCCAACCTTGTGCAGGTCTACAATTTTATCCCTGATGTCCTTACACAGCTCTCTGGTCTTGGCCATTGTGGAGAGGTTGGAGTCTGTTTGATTGAGTGTGTGGACAGGTGTCTTTTATACAGGTAACGAGTTCAAACAGGTGCAGTTAATACAGGTAATGAGTGGAGAACAGGAGGGCTTCTTAAAGAAAAACTAACAGGTCTGTGAGAGCTGGAAAAATCATACAATGTGATTTTCTGGATTTTTGTTTTAGATTCCGTCTCTCACAGTTGATGTGTACCTATGATAAAAAATTACAGACCTCTACATGCTTTGTAAGTAGGAAAACCTGCAAAATCGGCAGTGTATCAAATACTTGTTCTCCCCACTGTATATCCTCAATGGCCCTGGTCAAGATGAAGGAGATTGCTGAGGCCTACCTGGGCCAGAAGGTGTCCAATGCAGTCATCACAGTCCCAGCCTACTTCAACGACTCCCAGAGGCAGGCCATTAAAGATCTCTGGACTGAACGTCCTGAGGGGTCATCAATGAGCCCATGGCGGCAGGATCATCAATGAGCCCACGGCGGCAGCTGTCGCTTACGGGCTGGACAAAGGCAAGAATGAGGAGCGCAGTGTACTCATCTTTGATCTCGGCGGAGGCACCTGTGACGTCTCCATCCTGACCATCGAGGATGGGATATTCGAAGGTGAAGGCCAACAGCTGGGGACACTCACCTGGGAGGGGAGGGCTTTGACAACCGCCTGGTCAACCACTTTGTGGAGGAGTTCAAGAGGAAGAACAAGAAGGCAATGAGGAAGCTGAGAAACAGCCTGTGAGAGGGCCAAGAAAGCCCTCTCCTCCAGCTCCCAGGCCGGCATCGACTTCTACACCTCCATATCCATCACCAGGGCTCGGTTTGAAGAACTCAACTCAGAGCTCTTCGGGGGGGAACCCTGGACCCGGTCGAGAAGGCCCTGAAAGATGGACAAGGCTCAGATCCACGAGATCGTCCTGGTCAGTGGCTCCACTCGAATCCCTAAGATCCAGAAGCTCCTGCAGGACTTCTTCAACGGAAGGGAACTCCAACAAGAGCATCAACCCAGATGAAGCGGTGGCTTACGGCGCTGCCGTCCAAGCGGCCATCTTGATGGGTGACACCTCTGAGAATGTCCGGGACCTTCTCCTCCTGGACGTGGCTCCTCTGTCCCTGGGCATCGAGATGGCTGGAGGGGTCTTGACCGCCCTGATCAAACGTAACACCACCATCCCCACCAAGCGGAACCAGATCTTCTCCACCTACGCTGACAATCAGCCAGGTGTGCTCATCCAGGTGTACGAGGGAGAGAGAGCCATGACCAAGGACAATAATCTGCTGGGGAAGTTTGAGCTCACGGGTATCCCTCCCGCTCCGAGAGGACTTCCACAGGTCGAGGTGACCTTCGACATCGATGCTAACGGCATCCTGAACGTGTCGGCGGTGGATAAGAGCACTGGCAAGGAGAACAAGATCACCATCACCAACGACAAGGGGCAGCTCAGCAAAGAAGACATTGAGAGGATGGTGCAGGACACAGACAAATACAAAGCTGAGGACGATGCCCAGGGGGAGAAGATAGCAGCCAATAATGGGTTGGAGTCCTACACATTCAACAAGAAGAGTAGTGTAGAAGACCCGAACTTGGCAGGGAAGCTCAGCGAGGATGACAAAAAGAAGGTCGTTGAGAAGTGCAACCAAACTATCTCCTGGTTGGAGAAAAACCAGATGGCTGAGAAGGAGGAGTTTGAGCACCAGCAGAAGGAGCTGGAGAGAGTGTGTAACCCAATCGTATCCAAGCTCTACCAGGGGGTGGGAGGGGCTACTCCGATGGGGAGTTGTGGCATCCAGGTTGAGGTTGGTGCTAGCTCTCAGGGCCCTACCATTTGAGGAGGTGGACTAAATAATCAATCAAAAATCAATTGCCGATCAATCACTAAAGAGGTCTCATAAGCCAATGGGTCTTCTAATAGAACTACTGTTTGTCAACTAGCTCTGTTTTCATACCACTAGACATCTAGATGGAAGTCACTACAAGTGCACTTTTTTTGGTCAAAACTTTAACCCTAAACTGTTTGCAGAAATGCATTAAATGGTAGCCTATGATTACCTGCATCAGAATTATGAATGCAATATTTATTTGTTATTTTTTTGACCACTTTAAGTAAAATGCTATGTTCAATTTTTTCCTCCATTCTTCTCATTTACACTCTCACACCATAACCAATAAATATGTTTGAAATTAAATATTTTTTTTTCTAATTATATTACCTTTTCAAATGTAAATATAACAAATACTACACTGAAGTTTATAATCAAGTAATAATCATGTTTATAAACAATGTACTCTACAACAGTAGCCTACACGCTAGTAGCTCGTCCATCATTTCAGTTGCTCACAAGATAATTCGATTTAATTTCTGGTATTTATGATTTACATATGATATTCAAACCAAACTTGATTATGCATGTTCGGATAGATTATTCACTCTACGCTCACAGAGTGACAATTGACTCAATTAAATTAACATTAATACGTCCCAAATGGCACCCTATTTCCTACGTAGTGCACTACTTTTGACCAGAGTCCATAGAGCCATTAGGTTCTGGTCTAAAGTAGTGCTCTATGTAGGGAATAGGGTTTCATTCAATTTTGTGTTTAATTAAACCCATACAAGATTACATCATTGGTTTCATTAGTCTATTCTCAAGGTAGTTATGTGTCAATATGTACACTAGATGGCAGAGTTAGGCAACCAAAAACACATGATTTCAAAACAGGTTATTTTGAACCTGTTCACCTTTGTTGAACCAGAATGTCTTATTAGCATATTCAAATTCATTTAATATCTTCTCAGAATACTCTCTACAAATGTAAACACTAAGCAGCCTATGTGAGCTGAATTAAATTGAATTTTATTCTGGGTCTGAAAATAAAACATGACAAGATGGAGGATGACATGAAAGTATTACTACACTGAACAACAATATAAACGCAGCATGCAACAATTTCAAAGATTTTACTGAGTTACAGTTCATATAAGGAAATCAGTCAATTGAAATAAATTCATTAGGCCCTAATTTATGGATTTCACATGACTGGTAATACATATATGCATCTGTTGGTCACAGATATATATTTTTTTAAAGGTAGGGGCGTGGATCAGAAAACCAGTCCGTATCTGGTGTGACCACCATTTGCTTCATGCAGCGCGACACATCTCCTTCACATAGAGTCGATCAGGCTGTTGATTGTGGCCTGTGGAATGTTGTCCCACTCCTCTTCAATGGCTGTGCGAAGTTGCTGGATATTGGCGGCAACTGGAACACGCTGTCCTACACGTCGATCCAGAGCATCCCAAACATGCTAAATGGGTGGCGTGTCTGGTGAGTATGCAGGCCTTGGAAGAACTGGAACATTTTCAGCTTCCATGAATTGTGTACAGATTGTTGCGACATGGGGCCGTGCATTAACATGCTGAAACATGAGGTGATGGCGGCAGATGAATGGCACAACAATGGGCCTCAGGATCTCGTCACGGTATCTCTGTGGATTCAAATTGCATCGATAAAATGCAATTGTGTTCGTTGTCCATAGCTTACGGCTGCCCATACCATAACCCCACCGCTACCATGGGGCACTCTGTTCACAACGTTGACATCAGCAAACCGCTCGCCCACACAACGCCATACACGCTGTCTGCGATCTGCCAGTACAGTTGAAACCGGGATTTATCTGTGAATAGCACACTTCTCCAGCGTGCCAGTGGCCATCGAAGGTGAGCATTTGCCCATTAAAGACGGTTACGACGCTGAACTGCAGTCAGGTCAAGACCCTGGTGAGGACGACGAGCACGCAGATGAGCTTACCTGAGACGGTTTCTGACAGTTTGTGCAGAAGTTCTTCTGTTGTGCAAACCCACAGTTTCATCAGCTGTCCAGGTGGCTGGTCTCAGACGATCCCGCAGGTGAAGAAGCCGGATGTGGAGGTCCTGGGCTGGCGTGGTTACACTTGGTCTGCGATTGTGACGCCAGTTGGACATACTGCCAAATTCTCAAAAACTACATTGGAGGCGGCTTATGGTAGAGAAATGTATGTTCAATTCTCTGGCAACAGCTGTGGTGAACATTCCTGCAGTCGTCATGCCAATTGCACCCTCCCTCAAAACTTGAGACATCTGTGGCATTGTGTTGTGTGACAAAACTGCACATTTTAGAGTGGCCTTTTATTGTCCCCAGCACAAGGTGCACCTGTGTAATGATCATGCTTTTTAATCAGCTTCTTGATATGCCACACCTGCCAGGTAGATGGATTATCTTGGCAAAGTAGAAATGCTCACTAAAAGGGATGTAAACAAATTTGTGCACAGCATTTGAGAGAAATACGCTTTTCGTGTGTATGGAAAAGTTCTGGGATCTTTTTATTTCAGCTCATGAAACATGGGACCAACACTCTACATGTTGTGTTTATATTTTTGTTCAGTATATTTTAAACACTTATTTCCAAAGTGGTCATGGTATTAGGACACAACAGGTAGCGTTAACGCTTATTCTAACCCAATGCAATTGTTGGTTTTCTTCAGCCGGCAGTTAAGTTGATACAAGGATAACTTGGTGGTAATGTGTTATGTAAAATCAGCCTCCTCAAATAAAGGAGAATTATCTTATTCAAAGAGCATCAGTGTGAGGAAGAGAACATTTCAAGAGCGTGAAGTATAGGCATCACATCACATCGCTCCTGATTGCAAGGGCACATGTGTTATGAGAAGGAGAGGAGAAAGCCCCTCTTGCACAACATCACTTTTTAATAAGATAGAAGAAGAAGAAGAAGAAGAAGAAGAAGAAGAAGAATCGTTGATAATATAGAAAAATACAATCATGATGCTCCTATTATAATGATTTCTAATGATGTTGTCATGAAGAGGTTAATACCTCTTTTAATGCCTGTTACTTCTTAACCACATCTCAAAGGACTTGTATAAGTGCTGACCCGGCATTGCACCGTGGTAGCAACACATAACATGAGTGAAGAATTTACATAGACAATTACGTATAGTTTGAAGTGCTACCCATCTTTCATGGATCTCACAGTAATGTAACTCATGTTTTCACATTATATCAAGTGAGTTCATAAAGGGAGTGGTATAGAATAATCTCTCATTCAGAATGACTCCTCAGGGCAAAAAGGGTTAATTTATTGGGGCTGTTGCACGCTCCAGGCAGCCTACAGGGTGAGTTGGTGGTGTCGTCTCTGACTGACTATGGCGAGGCTGAGGGAAGAGGAGGGAGGATCCTTCTGGTTGGAGAAGCAACAGATCCTAAACCTTCCCTGAAAAACAACCTCACATCACGTCTCACGCGCCTCTCTGCCTGGAGGACGAAATCATCGCAAATTGATGGAATATTCCAAGCGCGTTTATCGGTTTGGTTCATAGGGGTCAACTTTCATGTTAAGGAAACTTGTTGGATTATTGGGGCTCAGATGGATATCGTGACTAAGGTGAGGACCTTGGGTTATCGCTTTTAAGCGGCTCCAATAATTTGACAAAATACACCTAGAAATAGCAGCTCTCTAAATATCGTTTGAAGTCGCGACGAAGGTATCCCTGATTGAACTGTTGAATCATTTAAGCTATTTTCCGCTACAACATTTGCGTATTTATTGACATTAGGCTATAGATAATGTATATTATTCCACAAATATTTGGTGAACAAAAGCCACATGCCTGCCTATCCCAAATTTATAATCCCAAATTTAGAGAGATGTTTTGAGATTGCGAACAGAGTCTTTAGGGAAGTGTAGCCTATAGCAGGTGGTTTTATTCAAGGAAAATCTCTGCCTGTCGCGCACATTGGACTTGTTGAAGCAGAGAAGCAACTGTCCACGGGACGACTAGTTGGATAAATGAGTCGTATCACAAGGACTGACATGAGAACGAACTGTGATACGTCACCGTGTGATTGTTTATTTTGCTTCGGGGGGATATAATAACGGAAAAACACAAACCAACGGAATAACCAACCGTCTCTCCATCTAAATCTATGATCAGCTCGGTGTGTGTCTCGTCTTACCGAGGACGCAAGTCAGGTAACAAACCTCCGTCTAAGACATGTCAGAAGGAAGAAATGATCAGGGGCGAAGACTCGGAAAAAATTGTTATCAATGTTGGTGGCACAAGACACGAAACCTACAAGAGCACACTTAGGACCCTACCAGGGACGCGCCTGGCCTGGTTAGCCGACCCGCCAGAGCCGAACCCAGACAAGGACTCCCTCCCCGTAGGACCCATATCTCCAACTACAAACGAGTTATTTTTCGACAGGCACCCTGGCATATTCGCTTATGTGTTGAACTATTACAGGACTGGCAAGCTTCATTGCCCCGCCGATGTCTGCGGGCCTCTTTTTGAAGAGGAGTTGGCGTTTTGGGGGATAGATGAGACCGACGTGGAGCCGTGTTGCTGGATGACATATCGACAGCACCGAGACGCAGAGGAGGCACTGGACATATTCGAACCACCGGACCCAGATGACACGGACGATGAACTACCCAGACGGTTCGGCATCGAGGACTGCCCGGACAGATCGAGGGGATGCTGCGAAGTTTGGCAACCAAAGATATGGGCTCTCTTCGAGGACCCATACTCATCCAGGGCTGCTAGAGTAAGTGTACCTTTTTTTTTTTTTTTGCATAATAAACCATGCTTATAAACCAGGGTCGCTACAATATTATTGTAATTTGTAGGAGTAGGCTTCCTGTTCACAAACTCCCACAGTTAATCATTAGAATAATGCAATGAAATCAACAGGTGTTCTAGAGCTTGTCATTTTCGGCGCCTCGCGCCACCGACAACCAACAGGTGTGTCTGTTCTCACTTGCGTCTGACTGCTGTGGAACACCAAACAAGACAAGCCAGTAGCCGGAAAGAATGTGCTGGTGCGGAAATAGCATCATACAAGGATGATGTTGTGTCATTAAGTTCAAAGCCATATTATTTTACTGGGGTCGTTTATAGTGCTTAATTACGCATAGATTATACATATTAAATCCAATTTTATTGGTCACATACACATATTTAGCAAACGTTATTGCGGGTGTAGCGAAATAATACTAATATTTTACCCTCAAGGTTACCGTTAATGACACGAGGATTATATGACTGGAATGCAATCTCTTGCATTATGGACCACTGTATATAAACACGCTAAAGTAAATAATTCAAGTCCAATTCAGATGTTGATGTCTTATAGGCCTATTTTCAAGTTCACTTATGACTGTCCGGCCCTGGCACCTTAGCATAGCAGCCATCAGCAGCATTAATAGTTGTTATCTCTCTGTCATGAATGGTTGTTATAATAATAATATGCCATTTAGCAGACACTTTCATCCAAAGCAACTTACAGTCATGTGGGCATACATTTTTACGAATGGGTGGTCCCGGGGATCGAACCCACTACCCTGGCGTTTACAAGCGCCATGCTCTACCAATTGAGCTACAGTCATGAATGTGTGTCATATGTGATATGCAATGGGTTGTGTTTCATGCTCATCACTTAAAAATATACTCTTATATGTTTTGTAAGTAGGCAGGTTTCCATTGACCCAAGTTTATTTGACAAAAGCAATGTCGCAAAATGTATTATTGGACTTGTGCAATGGAAACCGCAGAGATGGGAGAGATTTGATCCGTTCGAGTGGATTTTTCTTTTGTCTAACTTTCTTTATTACAACAAATGACGATGGAAACTGTGTTTTTCAAATAAATGATGATTGTAGAATACTTTTGAAGGTCCATGGGGCACGTGATGTCATTACATAACTATAAGCTCCACTCCTCATTTAAAGGGTAGGTAGCATGAGTTTTTACTCACCAAAGTAACAACGTGGTCAAAGACTTAAGAACTTAGTTGTTGTCACGATGTGGTTACCTATAACTACAAAAGTAGTTATGTTTTGGGGTTTTGAAATATTTATCAACTTACTTGAGGATATCTTCGAAACTACCCACAAAGCACTATTTCTCAACGTCATATGGAGAATCTGCTCTGCGTTAGCTAGCTCGAGTAATGCCAGCTATGCTAGCATGTCATTACATTCCAGACCGAGCATTGGCAGTGGTGAGCTACATTCCACCAAGCATGAGGAGGTGTGATATTAACAACCAATCATTCATGCTCCGCTGTTCCAGGCAGCTCTGACTTCTCCTCCTCTGGCAGGCTTGCCTCTGGTTCAACATGAAAGTGGACAATCATTCTGGCCTGCTCTAATTGTTTAGTACCTTGTCTGTTCTTTCGTTGCCCTATATTTGTTTTGTCAACCTTTTAGACCTGTTCTCTGTGAAGTAAGCTACCAGAGTTTTTCAACCTTGGCTTAGTGCTCCCTATATCACTTTTGGATTAGCTACCCTCACTGACTCTTACCTCGGCTGATGAAACTGCCTCTCCGTCTGAAGAACCTCTCTTCTTGGCTCTTCCTTGGTAGCTAACTCAGCCACTCGTTACCATGGGATGGGTATCAGCCGTCAATCTGTAAGTCTCCGCTCTCTCTTTAATTTTTATTTGCTTGCTTTGTTTTAGTTGTGTTCTGTGGTTTCCTGCTTGTGCTAGTTATTGTTGCGTTGTTCTCTGGCTTACTACCTACAGTGGAAGTCGGAAGTTTACATACACTTAGTTTGGAGTCATTCAAACTCGTTTTTTAACCACTCCACACATTTCTTGTAAAGAAACTATAGTTTTGGCAAGTCGGTTAGGACTTCTACTTTGTGCATGACACAAGTAATTTTTCCAACAATTGTTTACAGACAGATTCTTTCACTTATAATTCACTGTATCACAATTCCAGTGGGTCAGAAGTTTACATACACTAAGTTGACTGTGCATTTAAACAGCTTGGAAAATTCCAGAAAATGATGTCATGGCGTTAGAAGCTTCTGATAGGCTAATTGACATCATTTGAGTCAATTGGAGGTGTACCTGTGGATGTATTTCAAGGCCTACCTTCAAACTCAGTGGCTCTTTGCTTGACATCATGGGAAAATTAAAAGAAATCAGCCAAGACCTTAGAAAAATATTTGTAGACCTCCACAAGTCTTGTTCATCCTTGGGAGCAATTTCCAAACGCCTGAAGGTACCACGTTCATCTGTACAAACAATAGTAAGCAAGTATAAACACCATGGGACCACACAGCCATCATACCGCTCAGGAAGGAGACGCGTTCTGTCTCCTAGAGATGAGCGTACTTTGGTGTAAAAAGTGCAAATCAATCCCAGAACAACAGCAAAGGACCTTGTGAAGATGCTGGAGGAAACAGGTACAAAAGTATCTATATCCGCAGTAAAACGAGTTCTATATCGACATACAGTGGGGAAAAAAAGTATTTACTCAGCCACCAATTGTGCAAGTTCTTCCACTTAAAAAGATGAGAGAGGCCTGTAATTTTCATCATAGGTACACGTCAACTATGACAGACAAATTGAGCATTTTTTTCTCCAGAAAATCACATTGTAGGATTTTCTATGAATTTATTTGCAAATTATGGTGGAAAATAAGTATTTGGTCACCTACAAACAAGCAAGATTTCTGGCTCTCACAGACCTGTAACTTCTTCTTTAAGAGGCTCCTCTGTCCTCCACTCGTTACCTGTATTAATGGCACCTGTTTGAACTTGTTATCAGTATAAAAGACACCTGTCCACAACCTCAAACAGTCACACTCCAAACTCCACTATGGCCAAGACCAAAGAGCTGTCAAAGGACACCAGAAACAAAATTGTAGACCTGCACCAGGCTGGGAAGACTGAATCTGCAATAGGTAAGCAGCTTGGTTTGAAGAAATCAACAGTAGGAGCAATTATTAGGAAATGGAAGACATACAAGACCACTGATAATCTCCCTCGATCTGGGGCTCCACGCAAGATCTCACCCCGTGGGGTCAAAATGATCACAAGAACGGTGAGCAAAAATCCCAGAACCACACGGGGGGACCTAGTGAATGACCTGCAGAGAGCTGGGACCAAAGTAACAAAGCCTACCATCAGTAACTCACTACGCCGCCAGGGACTCAAATCCTGCAGTGCCAGACGTGTCCCCCTGCTGAAGCCAGTACATGTCCAGGCCCGTCTGAAGTTTGCTAGAGTGCATTTGGATGATCCAAAAGAGGATTGGGAGAATGTCATATGGTCAGATGAAACCAAAATATAACTTTTTGGTAAAAATTCAACTCGTCGTGTTTGGAGGACAAAGAATGCTGAGTTGCATTCAAAGAACACCATTCTTACTGTGAAGCATGGGGGTGGAAACATCATGCTTTGGGGCTGTTTTTCTGCAAAGGGACCAGGACGACTGATCCGTGTAAAGGAAAGAATGAATGGGGCCATGTGTCGTGAGATTTTGAGTGAAAACCTCCTTCCATCAGCAAGGGCATTGAAGATGAAACGTGGCTGGGTCTTTCAGCATGACAATGATCCCAAACACACCGCCCGGGCAACGAAGGAGTGGCTTCGTAAGAAGCATTTCAAGGTCCTGGAGTGGCCTAGCCAGTCTCCAGATCTCAACCCCATAGAAAATCTTTGGAGGGAGTTGAAAGTCTGTGTTGCCCAGCGACAGCCCCAAAACATCACTGCTCTAGAGGAGATCTGCATGGAGGAATGGGCCAAAATACCAGCAACAGTGTGTGAAAACATTGTGAAGACTTACAGAAAACGTTTGACCTGTGTCATTGCCAACAAAGGGTATATAACAAAGTATTGAGAAACTTTTGTTATTGACCAAATACTTATTTTCCACCATAATTTGCAAATAAATTCATAAAAAATCCTACAATGTGATTTTCTGGAATTTTATTTCTCATTTTGTCTGTCATAGTTGACGTGTACCTATGATGAAAATTACAGGCCTCTCTCATCTTTTTAAGTGGGAGAACTTGCACAATTGGTGGCTGACTAAATACTTTTTGCCCCCACTGTACTAATGACCAGCAGCAGCATCAGAGCTCGGAGAAGCCTAGTTACTGTGACTAAACGGTCACGTGGAATTTGACTGCCATGACTCGTGACCGCCGGTGTGGCGGTGTGTCCACATCACCAACAACGTATCATGGTCCAAACACACCAAGACAGTCCTGAAGAGGGCGTGACAACACCTTTTCCCCCTCATGAGACTGAAAAGATTTGGCCTGGGTCCCCAGATCCTCAAAAAGTTATACAGCTGCACCATCGAGAGCATCCTGATGGGTTGCATCAACGCCTGGTATGGCAACTGCTCAGTATCCGACCATAAGGCACTACAGAGGGTACTGCATACGGCCCAGTACATCACTGGGGCCAAGCATCCTGCCACCCAGGACCTCTATACCAGGCGGTGTCAGAGGAAGGCCCAAAAAATTGTCAAAGACTACAGTCACCCAAGTCATAGACTGTTCTCTCTGCTACCGCACGGAATGCGGTACCGGAGCGCCAAGTCTAGGTCCAAAAGGCTCCTTACCAGCTTCTACCCCCAAGCCATAAGACTGCTGAACAATTAATCACATGTCCACCCGGACTATTTACATTGACACCTCCCCCCCTTTGATTTTACCCCTTTGATTTTACACTGCTGCTACTCGCTGTTTATTATCTATGCATAGTCACTTTACCCCAACTACATGTACCAATTACCTCGACTAACCTGTAGCCCCGCACATTGACTCAGTACCGGTACCCCCCTGTATAAAGCCTCGGTATTGTTATTTTATTGTGCTACTTTTTTAGTAATTTTTTTAACTTTAGTTTATTTCGTAAATATTTTCTTAACTCTATGTCTTGAACTGCATTGTTCGTTAAGGGCTTGTAAGTAAGCATTTCACGGTAAGGTCTACACCTGTTGTATTCGGCACAAAATTTGATTTGATTTGGAATACGGTCACCGCAACAGCCGTAGATACAGCCAACTAGCGCAAAAATAATATTGCAATGTTGTCAAAGTGATACGATACGATATATCGTAAAAAATAATATCCCGATATGTAACTGTATACATTTGTTTCCCCATCACTATTGGATAGCAACATTGCAAGCTGATTTGTAACTTTGAAAATTCATAAAGTATTTGCTTGTAAGTTAAATTGAAACCAGTAGTTGACAAGGTTTGGTTTATTTTGAAGTTATACAGGCAGGTAGCCTAGCGGTGAAGAGCTTTGGGTCAGTAACTGAAAGGTTGCTGGTTTGAATCCCTGAGCTGACTAGGTGCGAAATCTGTCGATGTTCCTTTTAGCAAGGCACTTAACTGTAGTTGCTCTGGATAAGACTGTCTGCTAAATGACTGCTAAATGTACATTTTAAGATATTTATGTCGGCGTTTACATCATAGGGAATAGGCCGGCAGGACGAGGGAATGTCTGAATTGCTTCACCTTGCTTTTCTGGTTGGCTGGCAAGCTTCACCATCCAATTAGTTCAGGTCAACAGGAGTGCAAGTGTCACCATGACACGGACCGTGGCAATACGTTGGCACATGAGGAATATTAGAATATGGCAAATATGAGTAAATTATTGCTTTCTATCCCTGCTGTCTTTCTGAGACATGAAACAGATAGGTGGGAGGACATACAGTCTGTCACCAATTTATTAATGCTCAATTTGCCTAAATGGGTAATATAACACTTTAACCAATACATATTTTTTAACAATGTAGGTTTTATTTTATTTTATTTTTTAGGTGTGACGTCATTACTTCCGGCTGTTTTTATTATAATAATAATAATAATATGCCATTTAGCAGACGCTTTTATCCAAAGCGACTTACAGTCATGCGTGCATACATTTTTGTGTATGGGTGGTCCCGGGGATCGAACCCACTACCTTGGCGTTACAAGCGCCGTGCTCTACCAGCTCTCTCAGCTGTAGCTGAGCTACAGAGGACACAAGATATTTCAATGGAAACGCACCCTAGCAGGAAATTGTCGCGTCTATTTTCTATGTAAACTTTATAAATGTCGCCAAAAAAAAATCACTGGACAAGTAAATGGAAACATAGCTACTAGTGATTTGATGATAACACTTTCGAATGAGAACATCACTTCAATACAATATAACATTTGGGAGCCTAGAATTAGGAATTATTTACCTTTGATTATGCCACAACAGTTACATGTCATTAATTAACGAAATCATACTGTATCATTTATAGCCTATAATATATTCCTTGGTAGACTATAATTTGTAGAATTTACCTTGGATTATGCGACTACTGTGACCTATATAATAATGTTAATAAGAACCACAAAAGCTGGTATTTTGTGTGTAAATTCACTTTGGATCATCAGTGTAATAATTAATGTAAATATTTCCTGCCAGTTGAGATGATCTTCGATTTCCAGCTAAGTATTTCCCAGAGGACGTTACATTATGAGGCAGAGGCGTGAGAGAGGAGAGTTCCACAGTTAATGGCTAGCATCTAGCCGCTAATGGCTTCTCAACCAATACTGCAGAGATAGAGAGAAGAGAGATAGAGGATAGAGAGAGAGAGATAGGAAGAGAGAGAGAGAAGGAGAGAGAGAGAGAGAGAGCGAGAGAGAGAGAGAGAAAAGAGAGAGGAGAGATCGAGACGGAGAGATACCTATATCCTACGATCGCGAGAGAAGCGCTCTCTATCAGATATCTATCTAGAGATATAGGAGCGCGCATATCGGGTCGAGTAGTTAGGCCAAAGCGAGATGGAGAGAGAGGACAAAAAGACAGGAGAGACAGAGAGACCGCTGGAAAGAGAAGATGGAAAGAGAGAGAGAGAGGGATGTAGAGAAAGAGAGAGAGATGTAGAGAAAGAGAGATGGAGAGAAAGAGATAGCTTATTGAGGCAAATGTGAAGGCAGGTATCAAGTTACATTATACACTATACCAGCAGCTGCCTCATGAATGGGAGGCAAGGCCAGGTTGCTGTGTATATTGTGTTCAAGTGCATTCATAATTTGATGGACCTATGATTGCATTTCATTCAAGGAGAATGCATTGCTAGCCCAAGGCTTTCAATCATGTCTAAAGATTAGTGTTAACTGTCCAATTTAGCCTATAATGCCTTGGTGGAAAGGAGCACAGTTTGCTTCTAAAGCTGCCATCCCAGTCTTCTCTTCTCATCTCTATATAGAAACAGGATATTTTCCATTCATATATTAAGTCAAAATGCCACATTGTCCTGTTGTACCAGAAAGCTTAGTTCCTCCTGGCACATACAGTCTGTCACAGTGCAGTGCAGAGAGCAGGCAGACATCACAGTGGCTGGCGACCGCATGTCTTGTCTGCTGTCACAGCTGAGCCACTGGCTTTGTGTGTGTGATGTGTGTGTGTGTGGTGTGGTGTGTGTGTGGTGTGGTGTGTGTGTGGTGTGGTGTGGTGTGTGTGTGTGTGTGTGGTGTGTACTGTGTGTGTGGTGTGGTGTGGTGTGTGTGTGGTGTGGTGTGTGTGGTGTGTACTGTGTGCAGGGGTTGGAACCGGTTCAGGGAGCCACATTTTCGAGGTACGGAATCAGAACTGGGAATGGAAGTTTCACATTGGATTTATTAACTACAAAAAGCTTGTTAGCTAGCTAGCTCTGGTCTAATGTTTAAGCCAACTCTAAAGTTCAAAGACATTAACAGTTCCTTCATAGAAGCTGCTCCTCCGTAGGTAGAATTCTGTGGGCCTAATTCAGATAATGCATGTCATAACAAGATGCCCAACGCTTCAAGCCAAGCCTCCTCCTCAACCCTCTCTCGCTCGCTCCCTACCCGCAAAATTTCAGTCGTGTCTCGCGCCCTACACTTTCCTGTCCAATGCATGTAAAAAACTATAGCTTGCCTGCTCTATAGCAAGCTGCTCTATCCGCACTGATTGCTGAAGTAATTTAATGTTGAGCTAAATGTAAAAAAAAATATTTTAAAAGGAACAGAAAGGAACGATATAACCCGTAACTTTTTTTTGGGTTCAAACCGGTTCAGAACTTTATTTTGCTGGTCGGAACAGTGGAATGGAACCCAAAAAAGAATGGTTCTGTTCAGAACGAAACATTTGGAAAATAATTTTGTTTCCAACCTCTGATTGTGTGTGTGTGTGTACCTAAAGCTGTCCTCACATTGGCTACTAGTTAATCAATTTGTCTTCCACCAGCCGATTGTTTGTCTTTGTCTAATGAATCAAGATGGAGGGCTTTGTGGAACGGTGTGACAGACAGAGAGAGAGAGAGCAGGCATGAGGGGAAGTCACCTCGGAGTAAGTGATGAGTATTAGAGTGGGGGGGGGGGGGGGGGTATTAGAGTGTGTGTGGGGGGGGGGTTCACTCCTGAGTGGCGCAGTGGTATAACTGTGCCACTAGAGATCCTGGTTCGAATCCAGGCTCTGTTGCAGCCGGCCGCGACCGGGAGACTCATGGGCGGCGCACAATTGGCCCAGCGTCGTCCAGGGTAGGGGAGGGAATGGCCGGCAGGGATGTAGCTCAGTTGATAGAGCATGGCGTTTGCAACACCAGGGTTGTGGGTTCGATTCCCACGGGGGGCCAGTATAAAAAAATATGTATTCACTAACTGTAAGTCGCTCTGGATAAGAGCGTCTGCTAAATGACTAAAATGTAAATGTAAAATCTACCTGTTGGTAGGTTTATAACCACGTGTTGTTCAGTATAATGGAGAACATAGTCAAATGGTTATTTTCCCCAACAATGTTAACTCACGGACACCATCCCACTTCTGACACCAATGTAACGAACAGAGACAGTACAACCAACACCCTTTGAGGGTCACGAACCTGGGTCTGTCAGCCCATACGCAAACTGCTCCAATAGAGTTTAACCTACTTGGGGGAGCCTACCCAGGCAGGGGTCGGTACAATATTAATGCATGCTCACTGTGAACATGTCTACATTATGTCCACCGCACATAGGAGGACGACCATCTTGTTATTTCCTTTATAGCCTCTGTATTCCCAGAGAGCTCCTTGGTCTGCGGCTGAACCCCACCCAGGTAATGTGATTTCAGGCTGGTCCCGGATCTGTTTGTGTGGTACAGCCAACTCCTATGGTCGTTAATGTGATGTTAAAGAGCAGATAGAGGCAAAGACAATTATATCCATCATCACAGGACAGACAGGAGCAATACATTCCATCTACCTCCATAACAGCTGGGCGTAGAGACAGTAGCATTGCATACAATCTTTACCATCTCTGACTGGGCGTAGGGACAGTAGCATAGCATACAATCTTTACCATCTCTGACTGGGCGTAGAGACCGTAGCATAGCATACAATCTTTACCATCTCTGACTGGGCGTAGAGACAGTAGCATAGCATACAATCTTTACCATCTCTGACTGGGCGTAGAGACAGTAGCATAGCATACAATCTTTACCATCTCTGACTGGGCGTAGAGACAGTAGCATAGCATACAATCTTTACCATCTCTGACTGGGCGTAGGGACAGTAGCATAGCATACATCTTTACCATCTCTGACTGGACATAGAGACAGTAGCATAGCATACATCTTTACCATCTCTGACTGGGCGTAGGGACAGTAGCATAGCATACATCTTTACCATCTCTGACTGGACATAGAGACAGTAGCATAGCATACAATCTTTACCATCTCTGACTGGGCGTAGAGACAGTAGCATAGCATACAATCTTTACCATCTCTGACTGGGCGTAGAGACAGTAGCATAGCATACAATCTTTACCATCTCTGACTGGGCGTAGAGACAGTAGCATAGCATACAATCTTTACCATCTCTGACTGGACATAGAGACAGTAGCATAGCATCAGGGTTTCCGTTAGCCGGTAATAGCCTAAAAAAAAATCCCATTGCGAAATAATGCTTTTTAGCCTATTCATTAATGGAAATACCAGTTGATGGAAATACATTTGACTGGTCATGCTTATCGGTCTACAGGTCAATTAGCATAATTGAATGGAATTAAATTGGCGCGTGTGTAGCCTACAGTATATTAGTTATGGATCGTATTTATCACACGCTTACAGCATACAGATACAGAGGCTTTGAGCGGGAAAAATCTGTCAGACAGCGCGAGAGCTGCTGCTAAAAGAGCCACATTTTCTCCTCTCCTCCTGACTGCAGGTGCTGCCAAATAGATTGAATAGAACAGACGTCCCCCATTTCAAGGTAATGATGGTATAATGGGTGGACTCCCGTAGGAGCAAAGCAGGAAGTAGAAGCAGGAAGTTGTACCCATCGATATGTGCTGTGATTTTGTTTATTCAATTGACATTACAAAAAAAATACATTCCATTGCATGAGCCACATCAGTTAATCATTTGAATAAACAGTGTACATTATCAGGCAGCCGTTGCGAGTGTACCCATGAGTTTACCAGTCAAATTGCCAGGGTTAAGTCGTCCGCATACATAGGCTTGGTTTGCTCCCTAGCAGAACTCGGCTAGGCGAAGTGAACATCTGTGCTAGGATACTCCTTTAAAATACCTTCGCTTGAAAAAACGAGACAAAAGCGGCAACATTACTGTTTGTCCCTCTTGAAACGCCGTAGCCAGTACACTTCCTCAAAATAGTCTGAATTAATCTAAGATAACTCAAGAAATTTATTTTATTTCACCTTTATTTAACTAGGTAAGCCAGTTGAGAACAAGTTCTCATTTACAACTGCGACCTGGCCAAGATAAAGCAAAGCAGTGCGATAAAAACAACAACACAGAGTTACATATGGGGTAAAAAAAACATAAGGTCATAAAATACAACAGAAAATATATATACAGTGTGTGCAAATGTAGCAAGTTATAGAGGTAAGGCAATAAATAGGCTATAGTGCAAAATAATTACAATTAGTATTATTAATTTAGCATTAATTTAGAAGTTTTTGCTGAGGAGGTCTTAATCACGCAATTTTACATCTAACTAAGATGTTTGGTGCAGTATTTCTTAAGTGAAAAAATGTGCATGAAAACTAGTTGTCTGTCGTTGAACAAACACTTAATTGAAGAATCCTTACTGTTGACCAATCTCCGATGAAGTGGCATAGAGTTCGGCTACCGAACTTCGACAAGCTTCAAGAAAAAATTGTGTGCGCTCGAACAGCCGAAAAAACTCTGCCGAACACCAAAATGAAAAACAAATTATCACAAAATGCTGTCATAATATATGCGTGAACTGTTTTGACTGGGAAGCATATGGTAAGCTTTAGAGGTTCCAAGCCCATTCATTCTATTTCTATGTGCTGCTGCATTGTGGGGGTCGTTGCCTAGGCGTTAGCTACAAGAAATGTTAATGTTACATTTGTCATACGCTCTTATTTAGAGCGACTTACAGTGGTGAGAGCATACATTTTTTTCAGTCAAGTGGAGTGGTCCTCTGTAGCTCAGCTGGTAGAGCATGGCGCTTGTAACGCCAAGGTAGTGGGTTCGATCCCCGGGACTACCCATACACAAAAAAAATGTATGCACGCATGACTGTAAGTCGCTTTGGATAAAAGCGTCTGCTAAATGGCATATTATATTATATTATTATTATAAAACAAGGTTGTCCATTATCAGCATATCTATTTATTATGGCCATCGAAATGTTAGCTATTAAAATCAGATCCAACAATAATATCAAGGGATTAGAAATCCAGGGCTTAAAAACAAAGGTGTCATTGTACACTGATGATTCATGTTTTCTTTTAAATCCACAACTTTAATCCCCCCACAGCCTCATAGAGGATCTAGATACATTTTCTAACCACTCTGGATTACAACCAAATTATGATAAATGTACTATATTACGTTTGGATCACTAAAAAATAAAAATGTTACATTACCATGTAGTTTACCAATAAAATGGTCTGATGGTGATGTGGATATACTCAGAATACATATCCCAAATGAAATAAATGATCTCACTCCAATACATTTTGATAGAAAGTTAGAAAAAATAGATAAGATCTTGCTACCATGGAAAGATAAATACCTGTTAATTTGTGGAAAAATCACCCTGATTAACTCTTTAGTATTATCCCAGTTTACCTATTTGCTTATGGTCTTGCCTACGCCTAGCGAACAGTTTTAAAAATTATATGAGAAAAAAATATTCAATTTTATTTGGAACGGCAAGCCAGACAAAATTAAACGGGCCGATTTATATAATAAATATGAATTCGGAGGACAGAAATGATTAAATATTAAAGCATTAGACCTATCACTAAAAGCTTCAGTCATACAAAAGTTATACTTCAATCCGAACTGGTTCTCTAGCAAATTAGTAAGATTGTCTCACCCAATGTTCAAGAATGGCCTTTTTCCCTTTATTCAGATTACAACCTCTCTCTTTCAGTTATTTGAAAAGGAAATAATCTCCCAAATATCACTATTTCTAAAACAAGCCATAGAAAGTTGGTTGCAATTTCAATTTAATCCTCCAGAAATGACAGAACAAATAACGCAACAAATATTGTGGTTAAACTCAAATATACTAATTGATAAAAAAAACATTATTTTTTTACAAAATGTTTTAAAAAGGTATAATCTTTGTAAATGATATCACAGGTAGGACTGGTGGAGTTATGTCGCACATGCAGCTAACAAAAACATATGGAAATGTCTGCTCTACCCAAAATTACAACCAAATAATTGCAGCATTACCGCAAAAATGGAAGAGGAAAGTGGAAGGGTGAAAAAGTAAGGAACTTGTCTGTCGGCCTTGCATTAAAGAACATAACTGGTTAAAGAAAATTGTGATAAATAAAAAAGTATACCAGTTTCATTTAAGGACCAAAGGATTGACAGCCGTCCCATATAGATTGCAAAATAGTTGGGAAGAGATTTTTGAGGTACCGATTCCATGGCATAGTGTTTATGAACTGATACGCAAAACGATGCCGGATTCAAAACTTAGAATTTTTCAATTTTCAATGATTATATAAAATTCTTGCTACCAATAGAATGTTATTTATATGGGGGATACAATCTTCCCAGCTCTGCAGATTTTGCTGCGAAGAGACAGAATCATTAGATCATTTGTTTTGGTACTGTCCAATTGTAGCTTGTTTTTGGACACAGGTCCAGAAATGGCTAAAGGATTGGAATATTTACCTGGAGCTAACCCTGCAGATAGCACTACTGGGTGATCTGAAAAGTCATAGTCAAACAATCAATAATATAATAATACTTTTAGCAAAAATGTTTATTTTCAATTTACAATCTGTAGAAAGAATGAGAATAGAAGGGTTCAGAACTTTTGTAAAACATCACAGTACAGTTGAAAAATATATGGCAAATAGAAATCCAATATGGATGGTGTTAAGAGATAGATGGGAGGTGTTGAATGGAGTTGAAGGATGGGACTAATAACAACTAACAAAAACTAATAACAACAAGATAACTAATGTAAAGCATACTGTGTCCATAATAAGTATATAGGTTATAGGTTGAGAGCTTTTGTGAAAGAGCACAGTTAGAAAGATATGGCATATAGAAGCAAACCGGATGGACATCATGAGAATGATCGTTGAGGTTGAGGGTAGAGGAGGTTCAGGCGAAAAAACAAACAAAATAGAATTATTGTAAAATTGACTGTGTCCATAAAATGTATATAGTATGTGTAAGCTGGAAGTAGAGGCCTAAGCGTTGTTGTTCACTAGTTTACTCCAATTAGGGAAGGGGTGGTGGTGTTGGAAAGTAATAAAGGGAAATATATATTTTTTAAAGGATATGTATATACAGTGGGGGAAAAAAGTATTTAGTCAGCCACCAATTGTGCAAGTTCTCCCACTTAAAAAGATGGGAGAGGCCTGTAATTTTCATCATAGGTACACGTCAACTATGACAATTGAGAATTTTTTTTCCAGAAAATCACATTGTAGAATTGATTGATGAATTTTTAATGAATTTATTTGCAAATTATGGTGGAAAATAAGTATTTGGTCACCTACAAACAAGCAAGATTTCTGGCTCTCACAGACCTGTAACTTATTCTTTAAGAGGCTCCTCTGTCCTCCACTCGTTACCTGTATTAATGGCACCTGTTTGAACTTGTTATCAGTATAAAAGACACCTGTCCACAACCTCAAACAGTCACACTCCAAACTCCACTATGGCCAAGACCAAAGAGCTGTCAAAGGACACCAGAAACAAAATTGTAGACCTGCACCAGGCTGGGAAGACTGAATCTGCAATAGGAAAGCAGCTTGGTTTGAAGAAATCAACTGTGGGAGCAATTATTAGGAAATGGAAGACATACAAGACCACTGATAATCTCCCTCGATCTGGGGCTCCACGCAAGATCTCACCCCGTGGGGTCAAAATGATCACAAGAACGGTGAGCAAAAATCCCAGAACCACACGGGGGGACCTAGTGAATGACCTGCAGAGAGCTGGGACCAAAGTAACAAAGCCTACCATCAGTAACACACTACGCCGCCAGGGACTCAAATCCTGCAGTACCAGACGTGTCCCCCTGCTTAAGCCAGTACATGTCCAGGCCCGTCTGAAGTTTGCTAGAGTGCATTTGGATGATCCAGAAGAGGATTGGGAGAATGTCATATGGTCAGATGAAACCAAAATATAACTTTTTGTTTGGAGGACAAAGAATGCTGAGTTGCATCCAAAGAACACCATACCTACTGTGAAGCATGGGGGTGGAAACATCATGCTTTGGGGCTGTTTTTCTGCAAAGGGACCAGGACGACTGATCCGTGTAAAGGAAAGAATGAATGGGGCCATGTATCGTGAGATTTTGAGTGAAAACCTCCTTCCATCAGCAAGAGCATTGAAGATGAAACGTGGCTGGGTCTTTCAGCATGACAATGATCCCAAACACACCGCCCGGGCAATGAAGGAGTGGCTTCGTAAGAAGCATTTCAAGGTCCTGGAGTGGCCTAGCCAGTCTCAAGATCTCAAACCCATATAAAATCTTTGGAGGGAGTTGAAAGTCCGTGTTTCCCAGCGACAGCCCCAAAACATCACTGCTCTAGAGGAGATCTGCATGGAGGAATGGGCCAAAATACCAGCAACAGTGTGTGAAAACCTTGTGAAGACAACAAAGGGTATATAACAAAAGTATTGAGAAACTTTTGTTATTGACCAAATACTTATTTTCCACCATAATTTGCAAATAAATTCATTAAAAATCCTACAATGTGATTTTCAGGATTTTTTTTCTCAATTTGTCTGTCATAGTTGACGTGTACCTATGTCTCCCGAGTGGCGCAGTGGTCTAAGGCACTGCATCGCAGTGCTAGCTGTGCCACTAGAGATCCTGGTTCGAATCCAGGCTCTGTCATAGCCGGCCGCGACCGGGAGACCCATGGGGCGGCGCACAATTGGCCCAGCGTCGTCTAGGGTAGGGGAGGGAATGGCCGGCAGGGGATGTAGCTCAGTTGGTAGAGCATGGCGTTTGCAACGCCAGGGTTGTGGGTTCGATTCCCACGGGGGGTATAAAAAAAATAAAAAATAATAATAATGTATGCACTCACTAATTGTAAGTTGCTCTGGATAAGAGCGTCTCCTAAATGACGTAAATGTAAATGTAATGAAAATTACAGGCCTCTCATCTTTTTTAGTGGGAGAACTTGCACAATTGGTGGCTGACTAAATACTTTTTTCCCCCACTGTACATGTATGTATATGTGTTTATATGTATGTATGTATGTATGTGTATATGTATGTATATGTATGTATATATAATGCAGACAATTACATTGATGGAAGTTACAATCTATCTGCAATTTTAAAGCTGATCTACCCCCTTAAAAAATAAAATAAAATACAAATAAGTTCCTCGCTCAAGGGCACATCGACAGATTTTTCACCTAGCCGGCTCGGGGATTCAAACCAGAGACCTTTCGGTTACTGGCCTAACGCTCTTAACCACTAGCTACTTTCCAGACTACACAACTGATTCAAATAACCAACTCATCATCAAGCTTTGATTGTTTGACTCAGCTGTGTAGTGCTAGGGCGAAAACCACAATGTGCACCCATGGGGCCCCCAGGACCCAGTTTGGGAAACCTTGCCTTCACTCTAATGTGGGGGATAGATTTTTCCTCCGCCTCAAATCAGAAATAATTGCCAGGGTTTGTTTGAGTAGGCAAAAGTGGTGCGGTGCAACAGGTTCAGGAAAGTGAAAGAGGAAAGAGCATCATGAGTTTTAAACCTCTTTAAACCTTTAACCTTTAGAACCTCGGGGCCTGGCTGGCAGAATGAAAAGGTCAAAGGAATAATGGAACGCTGGAGTAGACTACTGCAAAGATGGCCTCTTTCTCTCTCTCTCACACACACACACACACACACACACACACACACACACACACACACACACACACACACACACACGCACACGCACACACACACAGACACAGACACAGACACACACACACAGACACACACACACAGACACACACACACACACACACACACACACACAGACACACACACAGACACACACACACACACACACACACACACAGACACACACACACACACACACACACAGACACACACAGGCACACACACACACACACACACACACACACACACACACACACACACACACACACACACACACACACTTCTCTTTCCCCCTCTCTTCCCTCCTCTCCGCGTCTCCATTTTCTACATCAAAGAATTTTCTCCATCAAAGCATTTTCCTCATCTCATCAATAATAATTGTTATAATTTCAAAGCACATTATCTCCCACCCTGTTATAATGTAGTTATGTAAGTTCAATCAGTAAGGCTGGTCTGAATGGATCGTCACTTTTCATTCATCTAGTAAACTCATATAATTCACATCGCTTCCTATCTCACTCATCAGCATAGCAGGTATTTATAGGGTTGTGTCATAATGGTCCCTCATTAGCATAGCAGGTATTTATAGGCTAGTGTCATAATGGTCCCTCATTAGCATAGCAGGTATTTATAGGCTAGTGTCATAATGGTCCCTCATTAGCATAGCAGGTATTTATAGGCTAGTGTCATAATGGTCCCTCATTAGCATAGCAGGTATTTATAGGCTAGTGTAATAATGGTCCCTCATTAGCATAGCAGGTATTTATAGGCTAGTGTCATAATGGTACCTCATTAGCATAGCAGGTATTTATAGGGTTGTGTCATAATGGTCCCTCATTAGCATAGCGTCACGTCCTTCCTCCTCCTTTACTATTAGCAAGTGTGCATTTATTAACTTCAGCCTATGAGCATGACACACTAAAGCAGTTCCACCAAGCTTCCTGATTAACCTATGGCCTCACTGGTGCAATAATCACTTTCCTTTCTTTTAACCAATGGGCATGAATCTAGCGGAGTATTTATACACTACCAGTCAAAAGTTTGGACACACCTACTCATTCAAGGGTTTTTCTTTATTTTTACTATTTTCTACATTGTACAATAATAGTGAAGACATCAAAATGATGAAATAACACATATGGAATCATGTAGTAACCAAAAAAGTGTTAAACAAATCAAATATTTGAGATTCTTCAAATAGCCACCCTTTGCCTTGACGACAGCTTTGCACACTCTTGGCATTCACTCAACCAGCTTCACCTGGAATGCTTTTCCAACAGTCTTGAAGGAGTTCCCACATATGCTGAGCACTTGTTGGCTGCTTTTCCTTCACTCTGCCGTCCGACTCACCCCAAACCATCTCAATTGGGTTGAGGTCGGAGGATTGTGGAGGCCAGGTCATCATGTTGCAGCACTCCATCACTCTCCTTCTTGGTAAAATAGCCCTTTACACAGCCTGGAGGTGTGTTGGGTCATTGTCCTGTTGAAAAACAAATGATAGTCCCACTAAGGCCAAACCAGATGGGATGGCGTATCGTTACAGAATGCTGTGGTAGCCATGCTGGTTAAATGTGCCTTGAATTCTAAATAAATAACAGACAGTGTCACCAGCAAAGCACCCCCACACCATCACACCTCCTCCTCCATGCTTTACGATGGGAAATACACATGCGGAGATCATCCGTTTACCCACACCGCATCTCACATAGCCATGGCGGTTAGAACCAAAAATCTCCAATTTGGACAAATTTCCACCGATCTAATGTCCATTGCTCTTGTTTCTTGGCCCAAGCAAGTCTCTTCTTCTTATTGGTGTTCTTTAGTAGTGGTTTCTTTGCAGTAATTCGACCATGAAGACCTGATTCACACAGTCCCCTCTGAACAGTTGATGTTGAGATGTGTCTGTGACTTGAACTCTGTGAAGCATTTATTTGGGCAGCAATTTCTGAGGCTGTTAACTTTAATACATTTATCCTCTGCAGCAGAGGTAACTCTGGGTCTTCCATTCCTGTGGCGGTCCTCATGAGAGCCAGTTTCATCATAGTGCTTGATGGTTTTTGCAACTGCACTTGAGGAAACTTTCAATGTTCTTGAAATTTCCCGTATTGACTGACCTTCATGACTTAAAGTAATGATGGACTGTCGTTTCTCTTTGCTTATTTGAGCTGTTCTTGCCATAATATGGACTTGGTGTATTACCAAATAGGGCTATGTTCTGTATACCCCCGCTACCTTGTCACAACACAAGTGATTGGCTCAAATGCATTAAGAAGGAAAGAAATTCCACATATTAACTTTTAAGAAGGCACACCTGTTAATTGAAATGCATTCCAGGTGACTACCTCATGAAGCTGGTTGAGAGAATGGTGGCTATTTGAAGAATCTCAAATATACAATATATTTTGATTTGTTTCACACTTTTTCGGTTACTACATGATTCCATATGTGTTATTCCATAGCTTTGATGTCTTCACTATTATTCTACAATGTAGAAAATAGTAAAAAATAAAGAAAAACCCATGAATGAGTAGGTGTGTCCAAACTTTTGACTGGTACTGTATGTCAACTCAAAACCTTGTCTCTCACTTGCTGTTTTGTAGCAACAGTCTTCCAACGACCAGTGTATTCTGTCTCTGTTGTCATTCAGTTAAGCCTGTACTGGATTGAATTACCGCAGGTTCCAGATCAGTGCCTCTATCTCCCTCCCTGTTATGTTACCGCAGGTTCCAGATCAGTACCACTATCTCCCTCCCTGTTATAATACCGCAGGTTCCAGATCAGTGCCTCTATCTCCCTCCCTGTTATGTTACCGCAGGTTCCAGATCAGTACCACTATCTCCCTCTCTGTTATGTTACCGCAGGTTCCAGATCAGTGCCTCCCCTAAAAAGATGATTAACATCAGACAGTAATCCAGTGAGGTTATGTTTGCTGTTTATTCTAATGTGGGCTAAGCTGTTTGTACACTGTCTGGAAGAGAGCAAGGGCTCCTTGCTGTGAAATCATTAGACGCATCAGAGCAGGAAATAATACAGTCTTAGAGTGTGTGTGTGTGTGTGTGTGTGTGTGTGTGTGTGTGTGTGTGTGTTGTGTGTGTGTGTGTGTGTGTGTGTTGTGTGTGTGTGTGTGTGTGTGAACGACAGTCATGTCTGGAATTACCCACAGTAAAAGCAAAACAGCTCTCAGGCATAGCAGCCTTCAAACAGGTAACACAGAGATATCAGTCTTTTGGATGTTATTCGACTTTAAAGCACCAATTCTGGGTCTGTTGGTTTGGTATCAAGCTGAGAGATGGGGCTGGGAAACTAGAACCGCTCAAACTCATAGACAGATCTATGGAAGCAAAGACTGGCAGTCCATGATATCCACATATCATTATCAGGATCTACATTTTGATCAATATCATGATCGTCATCAGTATCAACATTTTGATCAATATCAGGATCGACATTTTGATCAATATCATGATCGTCATCAGTATCAACATTTTGATCAATATCATGATCGTTATCAGGATCAATATTTTGAAACTATACAACTAGCTCTATTATTTGTTTATAAAGACTGAAATGACAACAAAACAAGCAGTTGTACTAAACTCATAATATTTTTCAAGAGTCCATGGGTATAGATTATTAACTGAAATAACCATTGAACAGCAGGGAATATCCCAGATCGAACAGCAGGGAATATCCCAGATTGAACAGCAGGGAATATCCCAGATCGAACAGCAGGGAATATCCCAGATCGAACAGCAGGGAATATCCCAGATTGAACAGCAGGGAATATCCCAGATCGAACAGCAGGGAATATCCCAGATCGAACAGCAGGGAATATCCCAGATCGAACAGCAGGGAATATCCCAGATTGAACAGCAGGGAATATCCCAGATTGAACAGCAGGGAATATCCCAGATTGAACAGCAGGGAATATCCCAGATCGAACAGCAGGGAATATCCCAGATTGAACAGCAGGGAATATCCCAGATCGAACAGCAGGGAATATCCCAGATTGAACAGCAGGGAATATCCCAGATTGAACAGCAGGGAATATCCCAGATTGAACAGCAGGGAATATCCCAGATCGAACAGCAGGGAATATCCCAGATCGAACAGCAGGGAATATCCCAGATTGAACAGCAGGGAATATCCCAGATCGAACAGCAGGGAATATCCCAGATCGAACAGCAGGGAATATCCCAGATTGTGCTTTATGGAAGCAGAGAGAGTATACTACTGTAGGTCAGGCAGGGCAGCAAATATCACTAGTTATTTTACAGACAATATGAATTTAGATGACACACTAACCACTGGACTCTAATCTATCCTCTGTGTGCCTCTTCTCCTCCCAGCTAGCTGCACATTAAATCAAATACAATTGTATTCGTCACATGCTTTGTAAACAACAGGTGTAGACTAACAGTGAAGTGCTTACTTCCGGGCCCTTCCAAACAATGTAGAGAGAAAGAAAATAGAGAAATAATAGAAAAGTAATAATAACTACACAATGAGTAACGATAGTTTAGCTAGATACACTGGGTACCAGTACCAAGTCCATGTGCAGGGGTACGGGGTAATTGTGGTAGATATGTACATATAGCTAGGAATAAAGGGACTAGGCAACAGGATAGATAATAAACACTAACAGCAGTGTATGTGATGAGTCAAAAAAGTTAGTGCAAAAAAGGGTTATTACTAGGGTAATTATTAGGTTCATTACTGCTCATGAAGATAGTTTCTGTACATTTACGTCATTTAGCAGACGCTCTTATCCAGAGCGACTTACAGTTTTAGTGAGTGCATACATTTTTCATACTGTCCCCCCACGTGGGAATCGAACCCACAACCCTGGCGTTGCAAGCGCCATGCTCTACCAACTGAGCTACAGGAGGCCCCGTCTTCTCACTATAAGATCAGATATTCTCTCTCGCTACATTTTCAGCCATTCTTTTCACTTGAGCTCAATGGACCCTGTTTGATTGTGTAATGTTATGGAATGTTCTACATTGCCATGAAGGATGTGTACCAGTACAGCTCGGCTTGGCGAAAAGGGTGCAACAGTACTGTCAACACAGCCGGCGGTAGAAGCTGGGGAGTTTTTTTTTTTCTCTCTCTCTCTCGGAGGTGGGAGGTAGCATCTGGGGAGTCCTCACAGATTCCCATCACTTCCAGCTGTTTAGCTTCACAGTGACACTGTTTCACGGGGCAGTGGAACAGCCTTGTGTGGACAGCACAATGGCATAACAGCTGGAGACCTAATAAGAGCAGTCACTGCTGATTTAATGTCCAACTGGATCATATACAGTGGGGGAAAAAAAGTATTTAGTCAGCCACCAATTGTGCAAGTTCTCCCACTTAAAAAGACGAGAGAGGCCTGTAATTTTCATCATATGTACACGTCAACTATGACAGACAAATTGAGAGGAAAAATCCAGAAAATCACATTGTAGGATTTTTAATGAATTTATTTGCAAATTATGGTGGAAAATAAGTATTTGGTCACCTACAAACAAGCAAGATTTCTGGCTCTCACAGACCTGTAACTTCTTCTTTAAGAGGCTCCTCTGTCCTCCACTCGTTACCTGTATTAATGGCACCTGTTTGAACTTGTTATCAGTATAAAAGACACCTGTCCACAACCTCAAACAGTCACACTACAAACTCCACTATGGTCAAGACCAAAGAGCTGTCAAAGGACACCAGAAACAAAATTGTAGACCTGCACCAGGCTGGGAAGACTGAATCTGCAATAGGTAAGCAGCTTGGTTTGAAGAAATCAACTGTGGGAGCAATTATTAGGAAATGGAAGACATACAAGACCACTGATAATCTCCCTCGATCTGGGGCTCCACGCAAGATCTCACCCCGTGGGGTCAAAATGATCACAAGAACGGTGAGCAAAAATCCCAGAACCACACGGGGTGACCTAGTGAATGACCTGCAGAGAGCTGGGACCAAAGTAACAAACCCTACCATCAGTAACACACTACGCCGCCAGGGACTCAAATCCTGCAGTGCCAGACGTGTGCCCCTGCTTAAGCCAGTACATGTCCAGGCCCGTCTGAAGTTTGCTAGAGTGCATTTGGATGATCCAGAAGAGGATTGGGAAAATGTCATATGGTCAGATGAAACCAAAATAGAACTTTTTGGTAAAACTCAACTCGTCGTGTTTGGAGGACAAAGAATGCTGAGTTGCATCCAAAGAACACCATACCTACTGTGAAGCATGGGGGTGGAAACATCATGCTTTGGGGCTGTTTTTCTGCAAAGGGACCAGGACGACTGATCCGTGTAAAGGAAAGAATGAATGGGGCCATGTATCGTGAGATTTTGAGTGAAAACCTCCTTCCATCAGCAAGGGCATTGAAGATGAAACGTGGCTGGGTCTTTCAGCATGACAATGATCCCAAACACACCGCCCGGGCAACGAAGGAGTGGCTTTGTAAGAAGCATTTCAAGGTCCTGGAGTGGCCTAGCCAGTCTCCAGATCTCAACCCCATAGAAAATCTTTGGAGGGAGTTGAAAGTCTGTGTTGCCCAGCGACAGCCCCAAAACATCACTGCTCTAGAGGAGATCTGCATGGAGGAATGGGCCAAAATACCAGCAACAGTGTGTGAAAACCTTGTGAAGACTTACAGAAAACGTTTGACCTGTGTCATTGCCAACAAAGGGTATATAACAAAGTATTGAGAAGCTTTTGTTATTGACCAAATACTTATTTTCCACCATAATTTGCAAATAAATTCATAAAAAATCCTACAATGTGATTTTTTGGATTTTTTTTCCTCATTTTGTCTGTCATAGTTGACGTGTACATATGATAAATTACAGGCCTCTCTCATCTTTTTAAGTGGGAGAACTTGCACAATTGGTGGCTGACTAAATATTTCCCCCCCCCACTGTATCTGTAGTGAAGCAGGTGGCTGTGAACCCAGTTACTCCTGCTGTCTCTCTGTGAACCCAGTTACATTTACATTTTAGTCATTTAGCAGACGCTCTTATCCAGAGCGACTTACAGTTAGTGAGTGCATACATTATTTTTTTATTTTTCATTGTGGGAAACTAACCCACAACCCTGGCGTTGCAAACGCCATGCTCTACCAACTGAGCTACATCCCTGCCGGCCATTCCCTACCCTAACCTGGACGACGCTGGGCCAATTGTGCGCCGCCCCATGGGTCTCCCGGTCGCGGCCGGCTATGACAGAGCCTGGATTCGAACCAGGATCTCTAGTGGCACAGCTAGCACTGCGATGCAGTGCCACTGCGCCACTCGAGAGTTACTCCTGCTTTCTCTCTCTGTGAACCCAGTTACTCCTGCTGTCTCTCTCAGTGAACCCAGTTACTCCTGCTGTCTCTCTCAGTGAACCCAGTTACTCCTGCTGTCTCTCTGAACCCAGTTACTCCGAACGTCTCTCTCTGTGAACCCAGTTACTCCTGCTGTCTCTCTCAGTGAACCCAGTTACTCCTGCTGTCTCTCTGTGAACCCAGTTACTCCTGCTGTCTCTCTCTGTGAACCCAGTTACTCCTGCTGTCTCTCTCTGTGAACCCAGTTACTCCTGCTGTCTCTTTCTGTGAACCTAGTTACTCCTGCTGTCTCTCTGTGAACCCAGTTACTCCTGCTGTCTCTCTGTGAACCCAGTTACTCCTGCTGTCTCTCTCTGTGAACCCAGTTACTCCTGCTGTCTCTCTCTGTGAACCCAGTTACTCCTGCTGTCTCTCTCTGTGAACCCAGTTACTCCGAACGTCTCTCTCTGTGAACCCAGTTACTCCTGCTGTCTCTCTGTGAACCCAGTTACTCCTGCTGTCTCTCTCTGTGAACCCAGTTACTCCTGCTGTCTCTCTCAGTGAACCCAGTTACTCCTGCTGTCTCTCTGTGAACCCAGTTAC